GCTACAATGTGCCTTTGGTACACTTCTTGTGTGCCATCACTGAGTGTAAGGCGTTGCTCCGTGTTGCCTGATCCAAATGACTTCTTGAGTGCGGGGACGGACAGATAAGATGCTGTACCATTCTGCCTGTTTTTCAAGTCTGCACTAAGGAATGCCTGATTGCTGTAAGGCATCGAGCGTAGGCGTGTGTAGTCGAATGTCTTCAGGTCGTTCGGAAAGGCCAAGTCGCCTTGCTGCAGCACGTTTTTACTTCGATCCATGCTGGCGTCAATGGTAACGTTGCCTCCTGCTGGTGCGTTGTAGGATGATAGAACCCAAAGGGGATATTCGAAGCTTCTAGAATAGTCGGAGGATGATGTATGTGTGCCTGTTGTCGACTGGCGAACGATCTGGTCGTTACCGCCGTTGCTGAGAGTACCGACGTTGGAGAAGGTGAGCTTCTGTGTCCATGTTACAGTTTTCGATCCTGTGGGCGTGTCAATGGTAGATCTGATGTCCACATTACGAGTGACCTGTATAGAGTAATCCAAAGATATGCTTTCACTGGCGTTTGAGTTTCCATGTGTTGTCGACTGCAGTGTGATGGCGGAAGTAGAGCGAGAGGTGGCAATGGTGCCTGTTGTAGGGTTGTTACTGGAATCGAGCCAAACGAATATCTTTCCAGTAACGACCCAATTCGATCCAATTGCCGTAGTAAAGTTCCCATGTCCGTGACCATCATCATCAACCCCGAGAACCTGTATTTCAAAGCTATGAGGTTGATCGTCGCTGAGTAATGGTATGAATGGAGTGATGTCTATCTCGTCATCCCGCAGATCAAATGCATCGATGCCTACGACAGGTCTCCAGAATCCCGGCACCACACCTCCAGTAAAGATGACTGGAAAGGGCCAGGAAACACCAGCCAAGGTTCCATCGATCAGAAGACGAAGCTCTCGGAAGGCCGAGTGACCATACAATGTAGTATCGTTGCCGAATGCGGTAGTGTCTGATGACAGTACGTTGCTCCACCAGAACTCTTCAGCGGCCTGACCACAAGCGGAAATCGAGAAGACAGCTTTCTTGGCGTTCTTTGGGAGTGTAGCACTGTTGACTGCTCTTGTTTCCGGGACGACGAACGCACTCGACGCATCCTCGCTAGACTTTTGTGCTGAGATTGGAATGATGACATCTGCGGGCTCGATCGCATCATCGGCAGTAAAGAAGGTCGCGGTCAGCGTGGTGTTCCAGAGGCCAGTATATGTATCGTCAACGATGTTGCCGAGATCAAAGATGATCTTCTGCGGCGTCTTGAACAGAGCAAGGTAGCCGCTCATGTCCTTGACATAGCTCCATATGATGCCGCTCTGAGTCGGCTCAGCGGTAGAAGTACGGAATACCTCGGTGTCATCAAGGAACATCAAAGCAAGCCGGTCGAATTGTCGGCCAGCGGAAGTGACCGTAAAGTTGATCGTGACTCTGTTGAAGCTGCAGTTCGGTGGATTGTACTGACCTACAAAAGGTTGGCCGTACGAGTAGGCAAAAGTATGGACCATCAAAGTTTGCTGGCATGCGTCAGTTGGACTCAGGACCGGTGGCGTAACCTCAAGACACTCTAGAAGGGACGATTCGTTCGTAGCACGGTTTCTCAAGGACAAGGTCTGGGAACGGGACTGCGCAAACGGGGGTGTCGTCAGTAGAGCGGAAGCAGATTGAGATAGCGTCATTAGTATTAAGAGCAGTGCTACGAGACGTGACTGTCCGTAGATGGGTGCTGCTCGTAAAGGTGATGCCAATTCTAATAATTCGCCATTGCGCCTTGCAGAAACTCCATCGCTCTTGCGCTTCCAGTTACACATGCTAAACGCCATTTTTGCAACCGGCCAGTAGTGGTTTGCTGTGTTTAACGCCGTTACTCCGTTGTCAGAGGTATCTCGGAAAAAGTCCAGGTATCTTGGTGCACCGATGAACGCCAAGTAAGAAATTCGATGTCGATATGTGATAGCCAGCTAGTTCAGGTCAGTACGTCATGGATTGGTGATAGCGCAAGGTAACTCACATCATCAATTCAAAAATGCAGCAGGTGCCTCATTCGATATGCGGCGGAAGCTTGCGGAAAGTGGGTGTTGTAGACGAAGGCTTGGGAAAAGCAGTTGCGAGGTGGGTGGTGGTATGTGTGCCGTTCCGACATCCGCGAATTTCTTCTGTCACCCGTCGAATGCGAATGAGAGCAGTATGTCCGGCGAGCTACTATTGGCCGCCTTTGTGATTGTCCCAAAAGCGTTTAGTAGCGTTGCGGACTACTTCGTTATCTCCAAATCGTGTGCGATAATAGTTCATAAGCGCGAACTCGTCTGGAGGCAGGATATAGGATTGTGGTTGAGCGTTTAGTTTTGACCAGACTACGGCGAGACGCTTTTCGAGGAATTGAGCAAGTTGCTGGTCAACGCCTCCTTCGCTGTTTTGAGCAACGTGGACAGCCTGACCGAGAGAGAGGTAGCCATGGCCTGCTATATATTCCGTGTTACCACCCATGTTGCTGTCTAATGCAGAGTATATTGGTTGGTGATGAAGCTAAACGAGAGAGGAAGGAGCGATTGGTGATAGTAGTGTTGACAAAGATAAGGAGCGTGAGAGTCGAAATGTATGTCAAGAGAGCGGTGACGGGTAGTGAGACACGGTGCAGAATAGGTGAGGAAGTAGTGCGGACAGGTAGTCTATATACCAAGGCATATTAATAGGCAGCTTGAGAATGAGACGAACCCACGTGGAGAAACAGGCAGATCCTGAACAGCAACTCATGCAGCTCTGCAGGGTAAGAGCTTAGTCGAAGCCTCAAACAGTTGGCTCCGGGAGCGTGCCGTTTTGGGCGCTGTCAAGTTGTGAAGCGAAGGAATGGGTGTAACACCAAAGCACAGTATCATCCCGCCGAATAATGTGAGAGGCAAGGGCCCTTGTCCGCCAGGAAGTCACAAACGGCGCCGAGCTTTGCAAGGGCAGGGCGATCAACTCCAGAGTCTAGCCGAGCTAGCAGGGGGGACAGACGACGCTGGCGCCGTTCAGAGAGGAGCCCTTGTCCGGTGCTTTGGAACGTCAGAGGGCAGAGGAACGCTCGTGACCACGGGCCAATCAAGGGGGTAATGCGGCGGCAAGAGGACGATGTTAAGGCCAGGTAGATGAAAAGTGGTCTCCATCACTCGTCAGCTCAGTACCCAAAGCTCAAAGTTTGAGACTGGTGCGGTTGCAGGGTTGTGGGAACGCCGAAAACTTTAAAGGATCAACTTGCAAACCTTCCCAGGCCCTCGCAGCCAGGCGCCGACCCGTGCTGCAGGATTGTTGCCGACAAAGTTGGACGAAAAGGAAGGGCGAGCCAGTTGATGGCAGGAGAAGGGCTCACTAAAGCAGAAGACTATACAGTTGTCGTTTGCGATGTCGTGATGCAGTTGTTCGGCAGTGGGAGTGGCGCCGGGAATTACAGACGCGTCGCCAGGCATTTGAACGAGTCGGCGACTGCAGCACAGCGGAACCATGTGTGGAACCTTGTCAGATCGAATCAGGCTAATGTAAAACGTTGAAGACTGTTAGAGGCCGGATGCGTCCGCGCGATGCCAACGCCCTCGATCAGCCACTCCACCGTCAGGACGCAGGCAATTGTCCTATCCCAAGAGTGATGTGCCCCACCGCTTTGCCAAAGGTCACCCCATGCGTAGCGAGGCGACCGGATAATGACAAGCGGTCTAAAGGAGTGTGGGTAGTGGGTTGTGAAACGGTCGTGTTGGATGGATTTCTGTAACGGAGGGCTCTCCTGTTCCACCACCTGCGCTATCGGTACCAGCGAACAGGTTCGCATACAGACAAAATGGACCCGCACGGTCGATAATAAAGCTACGCGTGGTGCCCCCGCAATTTAGAATTCAAGATGCAGAGTAGGAATACGACGTGTGAAATGCAGTACGGCACACCATGGTCCATGCTGCATGTCGAGCGAGGAGCAGGCTGGCACCCAGTAACGCCACACCTCGGGCGTGCTTGACGGGCTTTTGGAATTGCAAATGACCGGAGCGCTTGCGAGACATCACAATGATTTTCCTGGCCAAGCGAGGGTGAAGGAGTCAAGCGTGCATGGCTGCATGTGCTGCCCATGTTCCGCCCGCAAGGAGGCGTGTAGCTAGCCTGATTGGTAATGGGCTGCAACAGATGTTTGCAGGAAACACGCTTCGAGACTCCCCGAGGAAGCTCTTGGCCACAGTTGGGCTGATGCAGGCTGACGCTTCTGTCAGGCAATTCTGAGAATGTGCGCAAGACGTAATCCCTGGTCTGCCCTTGTCTTGGATCACCGCGGACTTGTCGCATGTGGCCAGAAACGCTGTCGTATAGAGAGACTGAAGGCGTTGAGGAAATGAGACGATTCTACTCTGGCAAAGACAGGCGAGACAGAGTTGAATCCCAGCTCCACCGCCTCTGCCTCAAGCCATTCGGTCGGTGCGCCCTGACATGTCCCTCTGGCAGGATTCGTCATGCGACATGGCGATGACAAGCCTGAGGCAATGACTTTTGCGGTCAGTGACTCGGTAAACTCTGGGTCCATTCTGGGTCCATTCTAGCGCTGGTCGAAGACGGGACGTGTTGTGCGTCTTCGATGTCTTCGAGACGAGAACCATGGTGTATGGATGATGCTCGTTGGCCCTACCGAATGCTCCGAGCGACAAAACCCAAGGCGGCGTGTGAGGTCTACGGATAAAGCAGAGTCGGCAGCCGCGTTAGGAAGTCAGCATGCGCGAGCGGACGATGGCGCCATGGGCATTCGTGCGGCGACGGTGAATGCTCGGGGTTCGGAATTACTATTGGCCGCGGGCGGACCCTGGCAGAATTATATGGCAATAGTGACGCTGCAACAACGTTAGGTAGCTTTGGCGAGGACTTCCGGCACCACAGCGCTGTGACAGTGAGCCTGAGTCGACGACCACCGCCCCACGTGAAGACCGATTCACCTGCCGCCGCAACACTCGCCCGCCCATGCCATGAAGCCTCGAGTAGATCGCCTCTGGACTGCCCAGCTGCCGTTTGCGCGTGCCGCCAGAAGCGCCGCCTCACGACCATCACCGCCCTTCCTTCGCACCTTCTTCACGCCTACCCAATCCGGCGCCCCTTCCAGACTGGGAAATAAATCGCTCGAGCAGAGCGCCCTCCTGTTCTTCCGCTATCAACGCTCTGCCCTCGCCCGCCGCTTCCGCTCTCTGCGCTTCAAAAGTGACAAGCCCACTGTCCAGTCGCACAACCCCACGCCGCACCTAGGCAGTCCTGAGCCTGCGCTGTCGGTATCACAGCGGCTCAAGAAGCTTTCCCGCGAATATGGGTGGACGGCGGTAGGAGTGTACCTAGGACTGTCACTCATTGACTTCCCTCTCTGCTTCATAGCAGTACGCTGGCTGGGAACCGACCGGATAGGCCACTATGAAGAAGTGCTGAAAAACGCACTCTGGAGCGTTGTCCGCATCGTCGTCCCAGACGCTGGTAAGAAGCCAGAAGAAGCAGGCATCGAGGAAACCACTGCCGAGGCCACTGCGAGAGAAGGCTACGTCGAGGCTGGACGAAGTGTAGGACACAACGGTGGGTCAAACGCATGTATGGGAAACCTTTCTCTCTGGGGCAATGAACAACGCTGACAGCAGCCACAGCAATCTGGTCACAACTCGGACTAGCCTACCTCGTGCACAAATCCCTCATCTTCTTCCGTGTGCCACTTACCGCAGCCGTCCTCCCCAAGGTTGTCAAGACCCTGCGAAGCTGGGGTTACAATATTGGCAAGAGAAAGCCAAAGACCCCGCCAGTCTAGATCTGTTCCGAACAGACTTTCACGCAATCGCCACACGGCCCATCGATATTACTCCCTGTACATTCATGCATTCACGACTCTGTAACAACATACATATGTAAGACACGAATGTAAGAAGCGTAGCTCTTTTACATTCTAGTGCTAGCGCCTCAGCAGACCTAACGTCCCATGACGTTTGATCGCAATGTACATTTTTGGTCTTTGCCACAATGTCTTGACCATAGACAGCAGCCACTGATATACTCAAATTATTCTTCTCTACCTCTTTCTTCCTTTGATACACAAGTTGGTCCAAAAGCTTTCAGTCGCCAGTGGCCCCCCTTTGTAAAGCTACCGCGTTCACCTTCCGGTGAAGAGTCGTCAATTCCAACGTTAAATCCGGCATCTCACAACGAGGATCGTTTCAGGCCTCCCCCACGATCGCTCGCCAAACCTTGTCGGTCTAGACGTGCCGCGGAGTCCTCTCCGCACACTGCTCTCAAACCTAGCGCAACGACCCCCGCTGCTGGGAACGTTCCTTGAAGAACTTCAATCGTCGGCATGCCGCGTTTACACAGGGAAACACCCTGTGCGAAGCAAGGTACCAGCCGCGCAAACACCAGCGGTAATGTTATGCACAACATATAGGGAATGCAGGGGAACACAACCTAATCTTCGACTGTACCGACCACATTGCTTTTGCCGGACCTGTATCTTGGGATTCGTGGTGTAAATGTACCAAGCCAATCTATCGGCGTCGGAAAGACGCAAGCACCCGCCCATTCTTCGTATCTTGGGCTTACCTGGACCGCGGTATCGTGATTCCGCAAATCTTCGCCCAAGTTACGGACTTTTGTCGCGTGTGGCGATGGTGTTCTCACCCGAGCTTTACCCAGACACCCAGTTCACCCCTACCCACATCGGTCCTTTTCGTGTCGAAACTTTCCTTACACTCGGGATTTTTTCCTACACTCTGAATCTCTATGCTTACCCAATTCGTACCCTGAAGCCGTTCACACCGATGTAAATGTTAGCCTCGGAGGCTTGTTTTCGAAACCTTGCATTCTCCTAATCGATAAAGTATGTGCTGTCTGGGCAGCTGATTGGTATCTCCACACTCCGTCTTCGTTACCATCATGCCGTCGGCCTCGGCGCTTGCCGACAGATTGCTGTATACACTACTCGTACTTCTCATGGATCCCAAATTGTCGGATTTCTGGCTTACAAGCCTGAGATGGCCAGAACGTTCACCCTGGCACAACCACCACAAGAGCGCCTATTCTCGCCACATGTGTAGCAATCTTCGATCGCGATGTGATAGTCCCACAGACACTGCGGTAACTTGTTTCCGATGAAACGCGTTACAAGCATCCACACTATTTTTTTTTGACAACGATGGCAGCCTCGCTTCGTGCCGCTCACAAGGCATCAGCCGCAAAGCTGCATGGCTGCAATTGTGACGAACTGCCGAAGTCGGGCGTCTGGGAAATTGATGTGTCTCAACGGTACAACAGCATTGACGGGGGCTAAAAGTTTATAGATTGAGCAAAGACGTCACATCACTGGGAACGCGGAGAAAGTCCAAATACGGTAAAGCAATGCCTCACTTATTGAGAATAGCATATAGACCACCATATACGGGTTGAGACATGGCCGTTGACTATTCACAGAATTGGTAATGTGCTGAAATGAGATCGGCTGTATCGGATCAATATGGAATGCTGAGATGATGTTAGCTGTGACTGCATGTCCAAGGATATCCTTTCGAGGAACGATGAACACAATATGGGTGGAGTGGCCGTGCCTGTAATTCCACCACGGTCGTATACAGCCATAGCCAAGGCTCTCCTATCATTATAGCGGTAGCGGATACGCTGGTAGCATGTTATCGCGTCATCGGACGTGCACAACCACGGACACATATGGTATTCGGGTACCGGATGTACCAGGAGCCGTGCCGGTCTATCTCAGCAATGCGAAGGCCTCCAAATACGCAACGTCGTTGTTACACTATATCATATCCAAAGACGAAAGAGCTTGGGAAGGGATGTATGGGCGCAATGAGACCCGAGTAGCCACAAATGAAAGGCAGCCAGGTCAATTAAACGCTCACGATGTCGTTCTTGGAACATTCTTAGAGGGCTTATATCGAAGTTGATACTGTTCGAATAAGCGTGACAAATTGGTTCCTGAATCTATAGAAGATAGAAATGCTGATTGATGTATAGGCAAGGTTGTTGCGCGTAGATCGTTTCAAACATTAGAAAACGTCGTAAGCACATAGTCGTGGCTATAGAACATGCGCATGAAGTCCGAGCAGTGACATACGCATACGCGTCAGTGGAACGCGAAACGCTGATGAGCACAGCAGTTTGCGTAGGTAGCTAAAGAGTTGTACAGAAAGGAAGAAACTTCGCGCGCTGCGAATTTCGCCAAAACCACGCTTGCACGTGTCCACGCTAGACCGAATGGTACATCCCTGCGAATGCCCCTAACCCCTTTGATCCACGACAACCACTCCACAAGCCTCACCCACGTATCTTCAACTCCGCGATATTGCGCAACCCTTCGACATCATGACATCTAATTTCGGCGTTCGCTCACGACAATGAGATCTGCTGTCCCTGTACTCGCAGCACACACAGGCATACCATGCCCCGCCTTCCTCTGCGCATCTTCCGCCTACCCACTACCCGAGCCGCGCGTCGGCGACGCATGTACACCATGTTCTTCATCGTCTTCGTGGTGGTAACTTTCATCTTGCCTTTTTACGTCATCTACAAGCCGCCACATGTCTTGATCCGATATTTCCAACGGAGGTGGCCTGACGTACTGTGGCACGTGCCTATACCCAGAGCAAAAGGAGGAGAGAAAGTCATTGCATTGACCATTGATGATGCGCCGTCAGAATACACGCGCGAGATTCTAAAAGTACTAGAGGACTATGAAGCACATGCGACATTTTTCGTTATCGGTGGGCAGGTGCGTGGAAGAGAAGATGCACTCCAGCGTCTTGTGAAAAGTGGTATGGAACTAGGGAACCACGCCATGCACGACGAGCCGTCTCGTTCTCTGAGCCCTGAGACTCTTTACGCAGAGGTCACTCAGGTAGAAGGGTATATCAACGGCACGTACGACGCGGTGGGGAAACCGCATCCACCGCGCTACTTTAGACCTGGGTCTGGTTTCTTCAGCACGAGGATGAGGGCGCAGATCAAGGAGATGGAGTACCAGATGGTCTTGGGTAGTGTGTATCCTCATGATCCTCAGATTGGTTATCCTAGTGTAAACGCGAGGCATATACTTAGTATGGTTCGGCCGGGCAGCATTATCATTTGCCATGATCGGAGAGAGTGGACGGCGCCGATGTTGAGAAAGGTGTTGCCAGAACTGAAGAGGAGAGGGTATAGAGTTACGACTGTGTCTGGTTTGCTTGAGGCGGCCGGGAGGAGAGGGTGATACAAAGCCATAGGGCGAGGCTTGCAATATCGGATGCGCAATGCCAAAGGACAAGCAATGGGGATGCATACTATCGTTTCAGTATGAGAACGAGCCTGCAAGAATGGAGTGATGTATGTCATGGAGGCATGTGGAGCTCATCTCACGAAAGGTTACTTTACCAATGGCATATACCCCGTGCCGAGTCTACAGCGCGTAATGTCATAATATATATACCTGAAATTAGGAGAAGGAACAACTTACAAAATTGCTGTCGGAAAACTGCCTATGGCTTCGAGGTACATCTAAGCTCCATGACATCAAGATTTTGGCGTCGCAACTTCATGTAGTCAGACGGACATCAGAACGACGCAATTACTACAAGACTCCAAAAGAATAACAATGACGCACAGTCTTTGCTTTATGCACTCTTCGTGTAATCGGGTACCAATCGTGACCATGAATCCTGCCTTTTTGAGTCGAAAAAGAACCAATCGCTCCTTTGTACTCGATGACTATGTCGTGTATCATGAGACCTGAGTACTGTCTTTAGCCCAATTGCTCGACATCCGACACGAGTCTGGTTTTACGGATCTACAGCTGCATGTAGCTGATGCGCAATGTTTGAGAAATCATACTTGCATCAAGATTATCATGCTAAGCTCTCTAGCAGCATTACTACACCGAATTGGCATCAAAGCTTATTCCACCGCAGTAAGACTCCAGTAAGCTGTTTTTCTGTCGCTTCGTAGCAGTCATACATAAAACAAAGAGAGCATAGTCCTTTTCAATAACTTTAAAATTATGTCGATAGGTTCATACATCTTGCAAACTGTAGTGTATAGAAAGTAACCATCTCGATTTCCCAACACCAATGGCAATCACAGATAGCAAGCGACTGCTATCATTCCAGAAGCTGTTGACTCAAAGTCGAGGTCACTAACATTGTGCAAGAATAATTTCTTCAAGGAAAGGTTGTTGCGCAGTAACAGATGTTTTCTGGACAACTGCCCAAACCCATGGCGAGACAACATATTGGGAAGCACAATGTAGAAAGCTGGAAAGACAACATCACAATCCATCATAGAAAGGTAGTAGCGTGAATTATTTCCTTCATTGAGGTATATTACATCGTAATGCAAGCAAGCCCTTTTAAGCTTTTTGCTAGCTTATATCATCTGCATCGTTTGCTGACTGAAGCAATCAATCTAAACCGCCAAAGATGAGAATCCCTAAACTCCTCTACCACTATGGGGCGAGACGCTTAGTCGAAGGGGTTGGTGCGGGTTCCCCAGTAGGTGAGGAACAAGCTGAGACCGACAGTCTCGAGGACGCGGGCAACAGCGCCGACGGCGATGGTGTCCATGGGGCGCTTCTCGGTGACGACCTGGGAGACGATCTATTGGGCCAATGTTAGCGTATATTCGAAGACTTTGGTTGACATGTGGGATGACGTACTGAGGGAGCGGCGGAAGCGAAGAAGATGAGGGAACCGAGGTAAGCAGCACCCTTGTAGGTAAGAGTTCCGGTAGCGTTGATCAGAGCACCGACACCGTAGGCCTGGATACCAGAGCCGAGGATAGAGCTACCCCACGATGCGGCAGCGGTAGCGGCCTCCTTGGTGTGGAAGTACTCCTCCTTGGAGTTAGCCTGCTGCGCGCGGCGGTATGCGTCACCGAAGACGGGTCCAAGGACGGCGAGGGAGACAGCGTGGTTGAAGGCCGTGCCGAGAGCGATGGCAGAGGGCTTGACGGGAGGGAGGTCTGAGGTCAATTGTTAGCTGGACTGTTGTATTATGATGCCAATGCTGCCAAACATTGCGCAATTGCTTGTGCAAGTGCGGGCAGCAGCTTGTCCATTGACTTGGGCATACTTACAGTGGAGAGAAGCCATTGTGATGAGGATTTGTGTTTTTGGATGAGGTGATGGGGTGAGTGAATTTGCTTGTGGTGATGGTTTGCAGGAGACAAGGAATGCGAGCTCTTTTGTAGTCGTAGCCGCAGCGTTGGCCTGCACCTGACATTCGTATGACGTAGATGCCAAGGCCCCACTCATGGTGGGCAATCGAGCCAGAACCTGGCTTCAGCCGTCCCAATTGACGCAAGTCTATCCACTTGCCCTGGAGCGGGTCTGGATTGTACGCCATAGTTGACTTTAGCATGGACATAACGCGGCCAAAGACTGGCTTTTCGCCTTTCGACGTGCTTCCTTCGCATGCCTTTCATTCAGGTACGTCACCCGCGGGCCACTTTGGAGGTGGAGCAGGTAAGGAGCTTGGACCCACTACCCCGTCTGCCAGCAATTTGCGGCTACAGGCTATTCGCTCGACAGCTCCCAAGGATTTAGCGCTCGCATCCCCCTCGGTTGCCTCGACAGGTACACCTTGCCTTTGCGGAGGGGAGGGGGATCATGTTCCTTCTATCCTGGTCGCGCCGCTGCCAATGCGCTTTCGCTCGGTGTTTTGCAGCACAGTGAGCGCATATCTTTGCTTTTGACCCAACTGCCAACTCCACGCCCTCGACGGAGCTATCTCCTAGCGGCATGATGATACCAAAGAGAGCTTTCGGGCTCGTATTCTGCCTGCTTTTAGCTACAGGCCTCATACTCTTCTCACGCACTCTTGGCCATTCGCTCGCAGAGTACTTCTTTGGACCGCATGGCCCGGTTATTCCGTACACCACGCATATCGTGCTGTTCCAATTCAAAGACGGCACAAGCAAATTCGCTGTCAAAGAGGTGAGATGCTCGCAAGACTAACGCTGATGAGCAACGCTGAGGCCACGTTTTAGGTGGTTGCGCAATTCTTCGGACTGAAGAAGGCATGCATACATCCAACTACGCTGAGGCCATACATTGTATCGATTTCGGGTGGGAAAGATATCTCGACTGAAAATCTGCAGGTATTCAACGCCGATGAAAGTGTTGGAATCATCAATAATCTGACATCGCCCACCAGAACGGCATCACCCACGCTTTCGTCCTGCAGTTTCATTCCATCGAAGATCGTGACTACTACGTTGATGATGACCCTGTTCACAAAGCTTTCAAGGAGGCGGCAAGTACGGCACTGGAGAAGGCAATTGTTGTCGACTATCAGAATGGAGTATTTACGAGTGTGTGATGATATGAATAGTAGCTCGAGAATTACTCTTCGTGATGGTGGGAAAGACGGCGATCAGCCTACCAACATTGTTATCAGCTGGTGCGTGTCGGTAGCACTTGGAATCGAAGAAAGAAAAGACAGATTTGCGATTAAAGTTGATAATAGAATATCGAAGCCACCAAACTCAAGTGCAGTCCAACCAAGCTATTTCATCATCCATGCCTGTCGTTAAAACCAAAGCAAACCCAACCTCTGGAGCTGAAGCACACATTACTAACCAATATCATTTGAGAATCGACCCCAAGAATGCAGCAAGCTTCCTAACGAAGATCAACCATTAGATGACTCCCTGGTCTAGTCACTCTCGTCATCGTCGTGGTCTTTCTCTTCCTTCTCAGTCTCCTCTCCTCTTTTCACACTTCTTCCTCTCCTTGCTTGTTGCATGGTCGTGGTAGTTACACAACTCAAGTGAATAAGCATCGCGGCCACCAGACGTCATGTTAGCGTAATGAGCCATGACCTTTGCCTTAAACGTCCAAGGTAGGTCTTGAACATCCTCCAATGCCCAGAGGGTTTCATCACTCCAGTAGCAGTAATACTCGACCAAGAAACGACAGAGTGGATCTTGGTCTGTTTCCAAGTTATTGAATGTGCGCCGGACAATATTGAATTGGGCTAGACAGTGATGATCGGTAATGTGATAGAAAAGTGTATCGAGGCACTCCCTCTTCAGCCCGGGTACGTCGTACTTGTCACAGAAGATGTATAGAGAGACGAGGTTCTCATACAGAACTTCATCATCCTCAGCGTCGTCATAAAGTGCAAATAGCTCGGATGAGTCTGTCTCGACAGGAAGTCGTTGGTAATAAAGCCAGTGGACAAACAGCTCAAAAGTGTTGCTAGCAGTATCGGGGAGGGTAACGAGCTTCTCGTCGGCTTCTTTGAAGGACCCTGTAAGGGCAGCGCAGAAGAAGGGCGAGTGATAGATAAGCAGATCGAGGTGCACATTGAAAGTTAGTGCTTCGGGGCCAACGACGACCTTGGCAAAAGTGGCGTTGTGGGCTCTGCAGGAGATTAGTGAAGTGTGAAAATCATATACACAAGGACTTACGATATGCGCGGTCTTTTCTGTTCACAATGGTCTTGGTTGTTTGACGACATATTGGCTACCGAACAGGTTGTGGAGAGTGGATGGAGGGAGAAGGTAGAAAAGCTCAAATAGGTTCCCTCTTATAGACTGCTCATCTGTCTTATCTTGGAGTCACTACCGTGCTCACCTTCGTGTTTGTCCAAAAAAGAAAGTACTTCACTACTCGTTACCACACGCTAAACTCCGAGACCTTGGTCACCTTGATGACTCGAGCGCATATATGAGCAATCACTTGAGCCAGGTGAGAGAGAGATTGTCGATTGGCCCTCCAATTTCGCAAGATGTGCAGAGTATCGTGAGTAGTGTGGTAAAGAGTCAAGCTCTTGATTCGTGTTGATGCAGTGTTGGATATGGATATGTTGTACATTTACACATTTACTACAGAGGCCTCGTGATAGCCACTTCCTCATCTATTGGCTCAATCCTACTCTTTGATCAGGTGTTCTTCCTTCTTGCTCTCCTCTGCTACCTTTGCCCTCGGCTTCACTCTTGGCTTCGCTCTCGACGTCACTTTCATTGACTTTCCGACTCGCATAATCTTGTTCGGGTACTTGCCACTGTCAACCTCCTCGGGATAGTGCATCTCCCTCTTCATCTGAGTCTCCGGGTATACCTTCTTAGGCGCAGGTAATATCCTCTCATCCACACCCTTGGCATGTAGTTTCCGCAGTGACTGAACCATTTTCCGCAGGCCCTCCACACCATCCTTGCGAAACTGTGTGACCTTCTTGACGTGCATTGTGATGCCCGGGCTCAACCCTAATTTTGTTGGTCTCCTCGCTAGTGTTTTTGCGGTCATGGCGAAGCGCATGTCTTTTGGTCCGTCTACGAGTTCGAGGATGGCGGATTCGGCCTGGTCTTCTTTCATGGGCTCAATGCGGAGGACTCGAGTGTAGCCGCCGGGTCTGGCTTCGTAGCGCTTCCTTATGGGTCCGAATAGCTTGGGTACCATTTCATTTGGTTCCTGACATTGTCAGTATGCGCTCTTGGTAGATGCTCTTGGCGTGTCGTACGTAGAATATCTGCGTCGCTCTCCGCCGTGTCGCCTCTGTGTTCTTCTTTCCCAGGGTAATCAGCTTCTCGGCTAACCGCTGGGCTTCCTTCGCCTTGTGCCATGTTGTCGCAATCGTTTCGTGCTTGAAGAGCGATGTGACGAGGTTTCGCAGGAGCGCCTGGCGATGCGACGACGACCGACTGAGGTGGCGATATTTCATGTGACCGCCTGCCATGACGGGCAATTGGTTCTGTATAGGCCGGGGAGGGTGTGGAGGGCGTCCTGGTGTCGCTGCGGCACCTCAGCGTCTTGCCGTCTGCGATACCATGGCCCGCGAAAAGTTCGGGCATCGGCCGTCGTTTCCCCGACCCCACATCCCTGCACGGCTTACACAAGCAGCAAGCACTTTAGCACTAATCCGATCCGTGGCCCAAGCAACGCGACGGGACGCGTAAAGAGAAGAAACGCGTTATAAGTGTGTGCCTGCATCCATCCACCCCTCACTCCTGCACACTCCTCCCATACACCCATTCTTCACGATACCCACTCCCAGATACCCCTCTACTACTTTTCTAATTCAACATGTTCGTTCTCAAGCGTGGTATGTACTGCCTGTCCTTCACCGCTGCAAATCTTCACCGCTAATATTCGACTTCAGATGGACGCAAGGAACGCGTGCAGTTCGACAAGATCACAGCACGAGTGTCAAGGCTATGTTACGGCCTTGACCCAGACCATGTTGACCCCGCTGCTATCACAATGAAGGTCATTTCTGGTGTCTACCAGGGTGTTAACACCGTCCAGCTAGACGACTTGGTACGCTCTTGAACGCGTCTCATACCATGAAAACGTCTAACAAAGGGACAGGCCGCCGAGACCGCAGCCTACATGACCACCACACATCCCGATTACGCAATCCTCGCTGCGCGTATCGCTGTATCAAATCTCCACAAGCAGACAAAGAAGCAATTCTCTCTCGTTGTAGAAGATCTGTACAACTATGTCAACCCCAAGAACGGAAAGAGACAACCCATGATCTCTGATCACATCTACAAGGTCATAATGGAACACCAAGACGAGCTCAACTCGGCTATCGTCTACGACCGTGACTTCAACTACCAGTTCTTTGGTTTCAAGACACTTGAGCGCTCATATCTCCTCCGCATAAACGGCAAGGTCGCCGAGCGCCCACAACACATGCTCATGCGTGTTGCTGTTGGCATTCACGGTGATGACATCGAGAAAGCCATCGAGACCTACGACTACATGTCTCAAAAGTACTTCACACACGCCTCGCCGACGTTGTTCAACGCGGGCACACCATCACCGCAAATGTCGTCATGCTTCCTCATCGACATGAAGGAGGACAGTATCGACGGCATTTACGACACACTCAAGACCTGTGCGTTGATCTCCAAGACCGCTGGCGGTATTGGCCTCAACGTGCACCGCATTCGTGCTACTGGCTCATACATCGGTGGCACTAACGGAACATCTAACGGTCTCATTCCCATGCTCCGTGTATACAACAACACTGCTCGCTATGTCGACCAGGGTGGCAACAAGCGTCCAGGTGCCTTCGCCATCTACCTAGAGCCATGGCACGCTGACGTCTTTGGTTTCCTTGACCTGCGCAAGAACCACGGCAAGGAGGAGGTCCGCGCTCGCGATCTCTTCTACGCTCTGTGGATTCCTGACCTCTTCATGAAGCGTGTCCAAGACAACGGCAACTGGACACTGATGTGCCCGAACGAGTGCCCTGGCCTCGCCGATGTCTACGGTGAAGAATTCGAAGCTCTGTACGAGAGCTACGAAAAGCAGAACAAGGGTCGCGAGACTGTTCGCGCACAAAAGCTTTGGTACGCCATCCTTGAGGCACAGACCGAGACTGGTAACCCCTTTATGCTCTACAAGGACGCTTGCAACCGCAAGAGCAACCAGAAGAACCTCGGTACCATCCGCAGCTCCAACCTGTGCACTGAGATTGTGGAGTACACCGCTCCTGATGAGGTCGCTGTTTGCAACTTGGCTTCTCTTGCCCTGCCTTCTTTTGTCGACTACAAGGCCGGCGTGTTTGACTTCAAGAAGCTCCACGAAGTCACACAGGTCGTCACCCGCAACTTGAACAAGATCATCGAGGTCAACCACTACCCTGTCGAAGAGGCACGCCGCAGCAACTTCCGCCACCGACCCATCGGTATGGGTGTTCAAGGTCTTGCCGATGCCTTCCTCGCACTCCGCCTTCCTTTCGAGTCAGACGAAGCTAAGAAGCTCAACATCCAAATCTTCGAGACCATCTACCATGCTGCTCTCACTTCCTCATGCGACATCGCAAAGGAACTTGGCCCTTACAAGACCTACGAAGGATCTCCCGTATCCCAGGGTATCCTCCAGTACGATATGTGGAATGTCACACCTACTGACCTCTGGGACTGGGCGTCTCTGAAGGAGAAGATTGCTGAGCACGGTGTACGCAACTCGCTGCTCATTGCACCCATGCCAACTGCCTCCACTTCACAGATTCTGGGCAACAACGAGTGCTTCGAGCCATACACCTCCAACATCTATTCCCGCCGTGTCCTCGCTGGTGAGTTCCAGGTTGTCAACCCATGGTTGCTCAAGGACCTTGTCGACATGGGTCTGTGGTCTGAGAACATGAAGAACCGTATCATCGCCGATGGAGGTTCTATTGCCAGGATTCCCAACATCCCTGAGGAGACAAAGACCCTTTACAAGACCGTCTGGGAGATCTCGCAGCGAAGGATCATTGAGATGGCCGCTGACCGTGGTGCTTTCATTGACCAGTCTCAGTCGCTAAACATCCACATGAAGGAGCCTACTATGGGCAAGATCACTTCTATGCACTTTGCTGGCTGGAAGGCTGGTCTGAAGACTGGCATGTACTATCTCCGTACCATGGCTGCCTCGGCTCCCATTCAATTCACTGTCGACCAAGAGGCACTCAAGGTTGCAGACACAAACATTGCCAAAGCCCTGCCCAAGGTACGAAAGCAACCCGGATTCCAGCCTGAGGCTATCCGACACTCGCCTGTCACCGCTTCCCAGACTCCATCATCGGCACCTCGTCCGATGTACGCCATCAAGCCCATCAACGGCGAGACCAAGACGGAGGCTGAGGAGAATGGTGTTTCCACACCAATTGCTACCCCGCTGCCAGTCTCAGAGGACCGGAACGCCCTCGCAAGCAAGCCATTCAAGGCTGACGTGGAGGAGGGCGATAGCCCAAAGATGGTTGCTGCCGATGCCGTTTCCAAGCCCGATGAAGAGGTGGCCAAGAAGGACCCACAGGAAGAGGACTCGAAGGACGACAGTGAGGCACGGGATGGTGACATCTACGCCGACGCTGTCCTCGCTTGCTCAATAGAGAACCCCGAGTCCTGCGTCATGTGCAGTGGTTAGGCGCACCGATGCGCATGTCTGCAGTGGGCGACGTTAAAAGCGTCGCTGTTACGTGATAATTACGGTTTGCCCGAGCGTGCTTTTCTGCCATTGGGTCTTCGGGAATGCAACAAGGCGTTGATGGTTTTTAGGGGTAGGTATCATTTGGATCAACCTAAGGAGGCATGAGTTCATGAGTTTGAATGTGTTTATCGTCGAGCCGTAGTATGTGTAGCGAATACGTATGTTTGTACGTACACATGAGCCTTTCCGTACATGCGTGATGTCCTCAGGCAAGTTCCCCGTGCTGTTGTTACTATAGCGCGACTTGTTCCGAAAGCCGCGGCTCAATTCCGACCGAAAGCTACATCTTCCCCACATTGCGCCCTACAACCACCCGCGCCCTTGGAAGTACATACTGCACCGCTCGTCTCACCAAAGCTCGTTGATATAAACCAAGTGGAGCTCCTGTACGTATACTTCGTCAAGGAATTCCCTAAACCAAGAAGCTAACATCGTATCTCTTCACAGCTCTCCCCAAGCTCCAACTACCGTAGCCCCACACGCCCTCCTCTTACCTGCCAGCTACGATATATATGCTCGCCCTCCGCTCCTTCCGTCCTCTCACACCTTCCTTCGCAACACCACTAAGATCTGCATCGAAGTTCCAGCAACGCACAATGGCATCATCAACCGGTGCTCCACTACAAGAATGGCTCGTCATTGTGCCCGACCATGCGGGTGCGCTGCAGAAGCGTATTGCGAGCCGGCCGAAACATCTGGAAGGATTGAAGGCCGATAGGGAGGATATGTGGTTGTGGGGTGGTATGTCTTCACGCACACTCTCTGCCATCTTTTCCTGTCATCCGCCTTGATAAACATGACAGTCGTCCAAAGCTGATACTGTTGTTCCCACAGGAGCAATGCTCGAAGAACCCATCAAAGAAGGCGATACGAACCCTCCCAAGATGAAAGGCTCCGCGTGCCTCATTGGAGCCAAGACGAGGGAGGAGGTCGTGGAGAGGCTAAAGCAGGATCAATATGTCAAGGATGGCGTGTGGAATGTGGATGAGGCGCAAATTATTCCATTCAAGAGTGCTCTTAGGAAGGCTTTGTAGTCTGGAGTTTGCAAAGCGGTAGTGGAAAAGATGTCGCTCAAACCGCCACCTTGATAACTCAGGTTCGAGAACTCTACTTCTATTTCCTTCCTTCTTTGTCGTGCCTCTCTCGGGCCAAGTATCATGAGCCAGAAGACAATATACTTTAAACATATATGCCGACAGGGAACGGCCCAATATCGAGTTACCCACTGACTTGCACATACCGCGCTTACACAACCTTGACATTTACCCTAATAAGAGTTATGTTTAGTATGCGAGGAAACGTCGAAGTGTAAGACGAAGGCGAGCAATCGCATCTAGTTAATTGGGCATAAGAGGTCGTGGTGTGGCAGGACGGGTGTCATTTGGCCTTTGAGGTTATTGGATGTGATGGCCACTACTTCGGATTGTGTAGGAGAAGTTCCAGTTTCTCGCGTGGTTCGTGTGACTAGCTGGCTGATGGGATGCCGTACTGTGGTTGCTTTACACTTCATTCCATGGTACTGCACCTTCTAGATATATTTAAGGACGACCAACAGTTTCACAAAACCAAAAAATTCTATTGCAATCCTGCTTTCCCTTCTGGTAAAATTGCCACTGTCTATCCATAGATATACCCATGTTTTTCTTCGAAAATAATCTCTCCTGGCTTTCTCAATCACCGCAAGCATCCAAGATCGACTCCATGACTGAAAAGCCCACGATCCGTCAGGTCGCACCCATACTCGGGTAAGTACATGTTGATTTCTCATATTCCTTCCAAGAGCGTTTTTGTCAACACGACAGCTATGTTAGTACCTAATGTTTCTTGTTGTGTTCCAGTACGAGTGGTTAGCAGTATACATATGTACTGTATCAAAGAGAAGAAAAAAACTTTCCTTTCAAGAGTACTCCTTCCTACTACAAAAGAGCGTGTGGGGTGTGTGTAGATACCTAGGTATGGGCAGAAAACCTAGAAGACTGCAATGCTATTGATCTTTACAAATTCTCTTATTAGAAGATAATGTAGGCTGTAAGCTAGAGCTTGTTATTTCTGCATCTGTCTGGTTTTTTCTTTGTATGAGGTGTATGGACTAACAAGACTAGCAGCGCCGCGGCGAATGGCGAGATGGTCACGGTCTTCATCGGTCCCACGAGAAAGCGGTACAGCATTTATAAAGATCTCATCTGTCATCACTCAGAGTATTTCCAAGTCGCATTCAACGGACTGTGGCAAGAGTCAGACAAGGGCGTAACACTAGAGGATGTCGAGATCGAAGTCTTCAACCTTTTCGTTCACTGGTTGTACACACAGGAGCTACCAAAGGATATGTCCCTCCTACTACAGGCCGCCGGAACAGATGCTCAACTAGCAAGCGAAGACTCTGAGAATTCTCACTGGGGCATACTATTGCTAAAGTCTTGTATCTTCGGCGATCGGTTTTTTGCACCGGGTTTCCATCGTCTGTCACACAACGTGTTCGTTGATGGTCACTTCCCAGGAAAGGGAGAGCCGGCCTTCAGCGCTGCATACAAAACCATCATCTGGAGTTTCGGCAACTTGCCGGAAGGTAATCCGGTCCTTTCTATGATGGTGGACCTTCAGTGTCTTGCCTGGAATGCGGAAGACGATAATGAAGAGGAAAAGCAGCTGCTTCCACACCTACCACACGAATTCCTTGTCGCTTGTATGCTGAGACAGAGTGTGTTGAAGACGTTGAAGATGACAGACGACAAGTTGAAAGCTTGTGATTACTACATGTAGAACGCCTACCCTGAAGATATACGCGGAGTTTTCGTTAGACTAGGTAGTAAGAATATCAACAATGTACGTGAGTGTATTTCTACGTGTATTATCTGCCACGGTTTGCCGAACAAGCAGTTTTTCGTATCGAAAAAGCCATCAGGAGTTATTTCTCCAAATTATGTTATGTCTGGTGCGTGTCGGAGGATGCAATCGTGAGATGGGGAAACCTTGTCACCACGTCCATTGCTACTGTTTACCGACTTAGTCTTACCTTATTCTCAGAAGTTGGAGAATTTGCACCAACGAAGTGAAGTGGCGTTTTGACAGAACACTCGTACGTCGTGCTTCAGCACTAGATTCACTTTTGATAGCGAAGGCGTGACCGAATGATGTCGCTTCTTTTACCACGAGTAGGAGCCTTCCGAAATTGTCTTCATGTTTTACTTTCACTGCAATTACGATTCTGGCATGCATATTTAAGCTTGCCTTCTAACCCACTCCCCTCACTACTCTTGCATTCCAATCCCACCACACCACATCGTATTGTCTGTGATTCTAGCAGCCCCCAAAGATGGTACCTGGCATTGCGTACGTATAGATGAGCAGCAAGACAAATCGAAGTCTATCTACTGACGATTGATAGCGAAGCCACCGTCGGAGAAGTCGTCGCCATCAAGGTTGGGCCAGCCGAAACAGTCTTTAGGATTCACAAAGATGCCCTATGCCGCGAGTCAGAGTACTTCCGTGCTGCCTACAATGGGCGCTGGAAAGAGGCAGAAGAAGGACTAACATTGGATGACGTCGAAGTTGGAGTATTTAAGACCTTCGTGCACTGGTTGTACATGCAGCAACTCCCAAAACACGGAGATGTTATCTACGATGCAGATGTAGACCCAGAAGGTCCGGATTACAACGTGGAGTATGGCATGATGCTGCTCAAGGCATACGTCTTCGCAAACCGATTCCTCATCGCAGACTACGAGCGCATCGTTCATAATCTGTTCATCGACCACATTTTTGATTGTGAATGCGCAATGTACAAACAGATCATCTTCGCCTATGAGAACCTACCAAAAGACAGCCTGATCTTAGAACTCATGGTTGAAACGCAATGCGTGTATTGGTCCACGACGCTCGACAACGAGGTGGAAACGCAGAGCCGCCTTGATCTACCTAAAGAGTTCTTTATTCAGGTGATGGTCAGGTTTGCTGAGCTACGAGACCGCCACATCGGATCTAAAGAGTTCAAACTAGAGGATTTCTATATGAAGGGAGCTGATTGAGTTGAGTTGTTTGCAACTCGATCCCAACAAGTGCTCAAGGAAAACTTGCAGAAGATGGAAAGCCAGCGTATAGTTTCGGTACCATATCCACGCCTCTTGCAAAAGCTGCTCATGTGTAAACTAGAACCTTAGAACAAGAAAATGAACACCCCTATAGAAGACACAGACACTCAACATCACAAGAAAAAAAAAAGCTCCATTCGATACTAGGGTATAAGATGAAGAAGCAGTAAACCGTATGCCCGCGCATTCTCACATGCACCCCACCCCATACTAACGCCTCCCATCCAAGTCACTAGTATAAACCCCCTGCCTTCCATGCTATTACTCCGAATATCGTAACACAGCCCAACCCCACAACGCCTACGTTGGTATCTCGGTTTCGTATCGTAACAATTCAGCACTGGTGCGCCTTCTTCCATCGAACCTAAACCTGCGCATTCGGCGCCGGCTTATCCTCACGCTCTTCAACAATGGGGCTCGTAGGCGCCTCATCCTCATCACTTGCTTCCCTCGCGTCTTTCCACTCTGAGCTCTTTCGGCTGATTCTGGCGGGGCCCATGGGGTCGCGTGGGCTGGCGAGTGGGCTAGTAGGCGTGGCGCGCATGCTGCTGATGCTATCAGTGCGGCCATGGCCAAGAAGCCCACTACGCACACTGAGTCCGTCGGCTTGTTTGGTCGCATAGTAGCTGTTGCGCTCGCTGGGTAGTACCGGCGCAGTGACACCGGACGCTGAGTAGACGCTCGCGCGCTCGGCATTTACGAAAGCACCAACGTTGCTTGGCCTGTTGGAGGGCGAGTATATGGTGTCTGGATTGGCTGAGAGCACGCTGAGCGGCAGCGACTCGCGACTGCCTCCATAATGCGATGAGGGGGCTAGTGCTCGCATCGAAGCATTGGTATCTACGGAGTTGCGACGGCGACGCTTCGACGATGACGCGAGGGTGAGGATAGACGCGTTGTCGGTCAGGATGTTGTTCGCGGTAGCGCCCTGATATGAGTTGGGCTGCTGCTGGGGCGCCAGATGCGGCGGTATAGCTGACGGTGGCGGGGACGCGGGGAACTGATGCGAGAAGTGGACGGGCGTGGCGCTTGAGCTTGTCGCATTGTTCTGGTTCTGGGCCTGGCCAAGGTTAAGGACATTTGAGGGCGCGGTTGATTGTATTGTCGTCAGAGTCGTGGTGAGGGAGTGTTCCGAGCCATTCGGCGACGAGAAAGTGCTGCCGCCGTTGACAAAGTTGCTGCCGCCTGTCTCTGCCTTTGATCTTGTGGAGTGCACGGTTTCAGGGACTGTGGCTACGGTAGGTGCTGTGGACTTGTTGCTCTTCTCTACACCTTGCCGCTGTCCGGCTGCGGGCTCCTCGATGGACGTGTAGCTGTCATGCGATCGCTGTGTGGCGGGAGTGGATACGGAGGAGTTGTCGGCTGGGGCTACATTGGTGTTGATGTAGCCAGACTCGGGATAGGGGTTGTTCTTCGCGGCGCCTTTCTTAACGGTGTTGCCCTTCTTGCCTGGGGCGTCGGACGATGAGGGCTTGAGATTGGCAAGACGCTTCATCCAACCCGCAAAGGGTCGTTTGCGCGGGTGTCGGTCTTTGTATCGCGTTAGCATGCTGAGCATAATTTGGTCAAACGAGAGTGGAAGTGGTGGAGGGGAATATAATAATCTGGGTAGTTGTCTGAGGCAATGGCTGTGCTGGGCTAGTTCACCGTACCATGGGGTCTCGATGCAGCTTCGGCCGTGGCCATTATGCCGGCTGCCAAATATAGAGTGCCGCGGTGGTGAGTGAAGGAGGTCGTCGAGCTAGCAGTTAGGCGCGGGATGCCACGTTCGGTCTCGGAAGATTCCACGTCGAAACTACTGGAGGGCTGCAGGACTGGGGACGCGGCTGTTGGTTGGTAACTTAGTGTGTGCGCGCGTGTGTTGGAAAGCCAGCGCAGACGGGCGGAACGCGATTGTCGCGATGGTGTGACGGAGTACCGTATCGCTGTTTGTCTGCCAGATGAGGCGAGTGAAGCAGTGCGTCTTATGTGGATTACGCGGTTGGGGCCGGGCAATCTGCTGATGTGGAAAGGGCGAGGGAGTTGCTTGGTCGCTCATGCCTCCAGTTGGACCCTGACCCTTTTCCCCAGCGCACCTGCCGCCCGCCGCGCTAAGCTGCGAGTTCCCTTTCACGACACAGTGATTGCGTATGTTCTGTAGATCGACATGTAACCACCCGCCCTGCCTCCCCACTGACCTCGGAGCGACCCCTAAACATGCTCGCATGCGGGTTATCAAACAACGAGGGGGCGCCCACCAAACCTAACACTACGTCATGACCCGAAACACCCCAATTGGCGCCAACCATGCTATCCCCAATGCCTCGACCCAAACCATACTGCCCCTGCCTGAGCATGTCGTCGCCCAGATCAAGTCGTCAACGGCAATCGTCTCCCTCACCGGAGTTGTGCTGGAGCTGCTGAAGAATTCTCTGGACGCGAAAGCGACCAAGGTTGAAGCTGCGATCGACTTTGCGCGCGGCGGATGCTCGGTCGAAGATGACGGCCTCGGCATATCGCCCCTCGAGTTTCGCGAGGAAGGAGGCCTGGGCAAGCTCTACTGTATGTACATGCACCGAGGGCGCTGTAGATAGACAATTGACAGGTACAGGCACGTCCAAGTACCATGCAACCGAGCCTCTTCTTGGCCGCAATGGCACCTTCCTCGCCTCCCTCGCTGCCATGTCCCTCTTGACCATCTCCTCGCACCACTATCAACATCGCTCGCACAACGCGATAACGTTTCACCAATCAAAAGCCGTGGAGAGGCAACTGCCGGCTTCGGCGCAGCACGAGATATCAGGCAGGCATGGCACCCGTGTCACCGTGCGGAACTTGTTCGGAAATCTGCCTGTGCGCGTCAAGCAGCGGTCGATCATCGCGGAGCAAAGAGCGGAGCATGACAGACTGTGGGATGGGCTGAAGAAGGACGTCACGAGTCTCTTGCTTAGCTGGCAGAGTCCCGTATCCATTCGTATTCGCGACAGCGAGAACAGGGTGGTTGTCAACCTCAGCATATCCGGCTCAGGCGCACCGGCACAAACTAAAGAGAGGGAGACGTTGAAGACACGCTCTGCGCAGCTCTCATCACTCCTCAACGTTTTGACCCAGGCCAACTATATCGCCATTGACCAGTGGCCGTCGTGGGTACCAGCATCAGCTGCTACATCTGCCATTTCCATCAAAGGCGCCATATCATTAGACCCGGCACCTAGCAAGCATGTTCAGTTCATATCGCTCGGTATACGACCGCTGTGTGCGAACGACGGCCACAACGAACTCTTCGATGCTGTCAACCGCCTCTTCGCTCTATCTAGCTTTGGCACTGTCGAAGATGATACCAACATCGATGAGCTGGAGAAACGGCGGCGACAGTCAGACAAGCGCTTCAAGCATGACGGGTACACCAACCGACAGCTCAAAGCACGCAAAGACGTCGACAGATATCCCATGTTCTACCTTCGCATCTCGTTGAAGGACGCCCGTAGAAGAAGCGTCCCCGAAGAGCAGTTCCTTGGGGATGAGGCGAGCCTCCAAAGCGTGATGGAGGTGTTGGACGCGATGATAACTCAATGGTTATCAGTCCATCATTTTAGACCACGGCAACCTCGCAAGAAGCGTGGACGGCTTGATACGGCTTCTAGTGCTGCGGAGAGTCTTGCTGTAAGTAACTCGTCATCCACGGAGGGTCGGACTACGTCCATGGCTTCAAGTGGGCAATCTATCCGAAGCCGCTCTGCAACACCAAAGCCAGTTTCTACTTCGTCGCAGTCACTGAAGAGGAAGCGTCCGGACAAGACGGCGTCGCGCGAATTGTGCGAGAGGTCACGTCCTGGAGTCTTCGCAGAGTGGTCACGCATCAAAAGTGGAAAGCCTGAGTTCTTCAGCAGCGTTTCGACCGTGTCGAAATCTAAATCCGAATCAGATCTCGGTAAGGAAGTTAGTATGAGCACTTCGGCTGGCACAAACACCGAAGCATTTGCGAAGTTTGATATACCGCCGTTATCGCAAGGTGCTTTGAGTGGGCAACATCTTCCCGTCGAAGCTTCCACACCTACAGGCTCTCTGGGTATCGAAAATAAGGAGAATGATGATACTATTCTGTGGACAGACCCAAACACCAAGAAAGTATATCTATTGAACGCTCGAACAGGTTGCGCAGTGCCCGATGCCCGGCCGCGACCAACCACCGATTCTAGCTCATCTACGTTCCTCAACACGCAGACATCTACGAATAAGTCGGTGCGGTTACCAACACGAGCCTCGACAGCTGTACCTGGCAAAACGCCTTGGCTTGACAATGTGCTAGACACGTGGGACAATCCAGTCTTCAAGCCAAGCGAGAAGCGTATACAACAGGCTGTATTACACGAAGACGAGTCTCGAGGGCACCGCTATTCTAGGCATGGTTGCTCCCGCATCGATATCGACAAGGCTTTCAACCAGGCTTCAGCAGGTGGCTCTAGTAGACTGTCGAGAGAGGGGTTACAGAACGCTCAGGTCATCGCGCAGGTCGACAAGAAGTTCATTCTTGTCAAGATGAAAGATTCGACACAAGTGCAAGATGCGCGCTCAGGGCTTCTCGTGCTAATTGACCAGCACGCAGCAGACGAACGCGTACAGGTTGAGTCACTCCTAAGCCAGCTTTGCAATCCACTACAAGACGAAAAAGGGTATCAGACAAAGCTCGGCAACAGGGCGCAGGTAGCTTCTGTCGTGCTCGAGAAGCCGACGCAATTTGCAATCTCTTCCAAGGAACGAATACACTTCGCAACCCATGCCGCAAGATTCGCAGCATGGGGCATCCTCTACGACATCCTTGGAACGACGACCTCTTCAGCTGTTCCTGACACTGTCGATAGGGAAAAGCACGTTTTATCCGTCACTGGTCTTCCAACGGGTATATCGGAACGATGCAAAGCTGATCCCAAGGTCCTGATTTCTTTCCTCCGCTCAACGGTCTGGAAGTACGCAGAAGATCCGCATCTCGCTCCTTTACCGGCACCACTCACCTCATCACCGAGTAATCCCACCGATTGGGTCAGACGTCTAGCCACCTGTCCTCCAGGTCTTGTCGATCTCATCAATTCTCGTGCATGTCGCTCCGCTATTATGTTTAATGATGTGCTTAGTATCGAGGATTGTAAAGCTTTGGTGAGAAATCTGGCGAGTTGTGTGTTTCCGTTCATGTGTGCGCATGGACGGCCTAGCATGGTGCCGCTTATTGATTTGGGAGAGAGGGGGGAGTTTCCGGGTGGACTAGGTGCGCGCGATGAGAGTGTTGATGACGCAGGTTTTGTAGGGGCTTGGAAGAAGTGGAGGAAATGAATGTTAAAGTCGAGACTTGCTGTCAACCCTAGCGGGTAACCTCATGACACAGCTTGGCATCGTTCAGACAACGTGTTTTTATACCTGAGGTCCAAAGAAATGCTACGACAGACACGGTGAAGCAATGTGCAGCTTGATTCTACTTCAAGGCAGATGTATACACGGCGTGGAGCTTAGCGCGAGATTTTCGCGCATAGCTAAGCTGAATTAGGTATGGTCTCTTATCGTCTATCACATCGTCTGGGAACAGCCGTGGAGCGTCAGCATCGCAATGGTGTTCGCCACCATCTTGTATCTTGCCTGCACCTGGATATCAATGTATTGTGCGGAAGACCCAAGCAAAGATCCGAACGAGATTTCCATTCGCCAAGCGTCATTCTATTTACCGACGCTGACATGGCAGAGTCGAGTCAATGTACGTCATGCGTAAACTTCTTGGACATGCATATCTCAACAGCCAAGCCTCCACTCCGCTGCTGAAGATCCATTCCGCGGATAAAAGCGCATGAAGCTAGTCTCGTGACTTGAAGTCGAAGCGAGCTCTCACCTCAACGAGTGGTTCTTCATAGCCGAATTGAGTAATGATGCGCATGACACCCCGCGATTCGGGAGACGTTTTGCGGGGATCGATCGTTGGAAAAACGGAGAAGATGCAGCAATAAGAAGGCCTAGAATATGCTTGATGAATGCTGTATGAACTGGGCTACCACGTAGTAGAATGTCGTTTAAAGAGAAGGACCTTGAAGCTGAGCGAAACGAGCATGTCAGCGTTTTCCCAATCCCTATGAAGCCTGAATACTAACGGCGAAAGATCTCGTTCGATGAGAAAGGCGATCGCGGTGAAGATGGCCGCGTTAACATTGAGGATGTCGACCAACCAAATGATACATCAGGACAAGCATCGTCGCCTTTCGAAAAGGATGACAAGGAAACCCGTCGCATTATTCGAAAGATAGATCTCAGACTCCTGCCAACACTCGCTGTTATCTATGCCTTTGCACTCATCGACCGCGTTAATCTTCCAAATGTACAGTGTACCCCTGTTGCGATCACAATTCGTATACTGACCCATAATGCAGGCGCGTATAGCAGGCATGGATGAGGACCTAGGCCTCTCTATCGGCTCACGTTATTCAATCCTCACAATGATCTTCTTCATCCCTTACATCATCTTTCAGTTCCCGTAAGTAGTGTCTCTTACAAACTGCATTTGAGACAAACACTGACTTCGTACACAATCTTTAGGGCCAACATCATCATCAGAAAACTTGGTCCCGCCGTATGGCTACCTTCTCTAGTCATCTGCTGGGGAGCTGTCACGATTGGCATAGGTTTTACGAATGATTGGACGCAGGCACTAGGCTGCAGAATCATCCTCGGCGTCCTGGAAGCAGGGTATTATCCAGGTTGTGTCTTCCTGCTAAGCTGTTGGTACGCGAGATTTGAGGTACAGAAGAGGTTCAGTGGATTCTATCTGCTAGCCCTTCTTGCAAGTGGTTTCTCGAACATCCTTGCTTGGGGACTAAGCGAGATGAGAGGCCTTGGAGGTCTAAACGGATGGCAATGGATATTCGCTATAGTAAAGTCAAGTTCCTACCTACTGCCATCAACCGCTAACCCATCTGAAGGAGGGCGCCATCACTGTCCTACTCGGCTTCATGGGTTTCGTAACAATAATCGACTTTCCCGATAAAGCCAGCCAGCCTAGCCCAATAACAAAGCGCCCTTTCTTAACCTCTGCGGAAGCCAACATAATTCTTGCCCGTATTCAACGCGATCGCGGTGATGCTGTCGCCGATAAGCTTACCTGGTCAACCATCTCAACGCATCTCCGCGATTGGAAGATCTGGGAGTTTGCCTGGCTCTACTTCCTCAACAACGTCGTCGCGTACAGCTGGGGGTATTTCTTACCCATCATTCTACGCAACGACATGAAATACTCCGTCGCTATGAGTCAGATCCTGTCTTTCCCGCCATACGTGCTGGCTGCGGCTTGGATGTTCGCCACAGCATGGGTTGCCGACCGGTACAGGATGCGTGGTGCAATCATTATATTCAACTGTGCATGGGCTGTCTTGGGAGTATGCATGATGGCATTCCTCAGCAACGCTCGTGCACGATATGCCGGAGTCTTCTTAGGTGTTAGTGGAGCGAATGCGAATGTGCCCAGCTTGTTGAGTTATATGCATAACAACATCGTGGGTCAGATGAAGAGAAGCGTTGCTAGTGCGCTATTGATTGGGGGCGGAGCCTGTGGAGGTATTGCAGCATCGAATATCTTTCGACAACAAGATGCGCCAAAGTACACGTAAGTTCCATCCACCAGAGATATGCCGGAACACGAGGCTGACCGAAGCAGACCTGCCATGGCTGTTGTGATTGCGACTCAAGTTCTGACCATAGTCCACGTGCTTAAGAACTTTTGGGTGTACTCACGAGCGAATCGCCAGGCAGATCGAGGCGAGAGGATCTTGGAGGGACAAGAGGGCTTCCGACAAACGCTGTAGATATTGCTACCGTACTTGCAATCGCTCTGACGACCTAATATGAAAATTTTGACGATATGCCGCTACGCTATGCTATGCCATGCTATGATATCAAACTCAACAAATGGTGCGTGATGCGACAGCTTTCTTTCACAAGAACATCCCGCTTTCCACATACGAACTGACACTATCCCATCAGCCTCCGCCTCCTCCCACTGTCGACCTGAACAGTATTGTCTGGCCCGATACTGATACTCAAACTGCTAGTATCATCCTCGCTTCCAGCCCTCCTCCTGTCTCGGTCTCTGCCGCTCACAGTCTGACTCTTACTCCTCTCGGGTTGTATGACCAGCCATGTCGAGCCTCCGCCTTCGTGTTCTTGTTCCATGAGCTGTAGTTGTGGGCCTCCACCCCTTTCGTCTCCTCTCCGCATCTCCCTATCACCTCGTCTCACGTCGGTCTCGCTCAATCCTCGGTCGTTGCGGCCGCGCTCTCTACTCGGTTTCGGGGCTTTGGAGGGTGGTGGGGGAGGGAAAAGGGTGTGGAATTTGGCAGTCTTGAGGGGCATCGTAGTGAGCGACGTAGGTAGTGGTAGGGATTCGATGAGGGTTAGCTTCTCTAGTGGTATGGTTGTGAGAAGGGAGGCGGGCAAGTCGACGGGTGAGCATGCGACTATCGCGTGCCGTAGATGGGTGTTGGATGCGAAGAATGACAGGTTCTCTGTGTTTTGTTAGCGATCTCACGTTTCTTTCCTTCGAGGATCCATGGATACATACCTCGAACTTTTCGTCCCGCTCCGCCTTCCTTGCCTACCCCGGTGTCTATCCAGTCGAAGCTGGTTATCCTTCCACAGAAGCCAGTGGAGAAAGCTCGCAGCTGGCCCAGGTTTCGGACCTTGTCAAGCCGCACAAGATAGTTCGCCATGCCTTCTAAGTTGGCATATACGCGCACAATGATGTCCAGCGAGTCGGCATCATCTGGGAACTGTTCACGCAGATATTCCCGAATTCGTATGTTTAGTTCATCTGCTAATGACTCCCCACCTTGGGCTTTGCGTGTTATGTATTTATCGTGGAACTAGAATCATTAGTTGGAATACACGGTCGGCAGCGGCATTGTTGTGCATACCAGGAACCCCTCCGCATCGGCGTCTATAAGCACCAGCACGAACGGCCGTTTGGCCTGTGACTGCACTAGAGCTTCTTCCTTTGCCTTGGACTCTGCCAGCTGACCTTGCATCGTCCGCGTGACATCTGCTATTTCCGCCTGCAATGTCCGTCGGACATTTTGTTCGGAGCCAAGGTCGAGTTCACATTGTGCGAGGCGTGCTTCTGTCTTCTCGAGTTTGTCGAGGAGTTCCTATTTCATCGTCAAAACCCTCTCCTCACCTCCAAGACGCAGCTAGTAGCATACCTCGATAAGCTCACATCTCTTCTCCTCGAGGATCCTAAACTGCGTCAACCGATCGCGGAACGTCATCGGAGGTGGGGCAGGCGGGCCCGCAACAACTAATTCCGCCATCTTCAAAGTGGGCGGATGTCACACAGTCACAAAAGGCAGGAAGTTACCAAACGACAAAAGATCTGGGGATCCTAACATTTAAGAAGACGCGTTGTTTTGGGCTCCCGCGCAGCGCTAGCTAGCTGTTTTGCATGTGCATGGCCCAAAAGTACGGTGACGCCGGCGGTGCGAAAGATGGCAGGTGCTGATTGGCCGGGTATGTGGGGAGAGTTGGGCTGATACGCTGCCTTGGGGTTAGAAGACACCGGAATCAAAGAGAAAGTCGTGAGCTGGCGGGCTGTGTTCTAGTCACGGATACAATCAGTGTGGCATGCATCATGCGGCGCGAGCCGCAATGGGTCGTGTGTGAGGCGGAGATGGAGGGGTGATGGGGGCTCTGGAGGGGGTGTGAGGGGCATGTTCTTCGCCTTGTTAGCCCCTCGTCTTTCGAAACAGACATCACATTACTTCTTTGTCTAATCATGCCAAAGTGTTGCTGCCTCTAGAATCCGTTCTATTGTCTATCTACGAGTGTGCAACCCTCAGATATCCCCCGGACCTTATTCATGAGTCACTTATCGGCAGGCTCGCCAGTCGCATGACCTGGATAATTTCGGTATCTGGTATGGAAACTGTCATCAACGTTCGATGGTCAATTTTGCCTCCAGACGTGCGAGGTAGCTTGTTTCAAATGACAGCGCATGTCGGACGCATATAGACTGGGAGGCTGAGACCGAGGAGTAACTTTTGTAGATATCTGCGCGATTTCACGCTGGGTGCCTCGTTCATGACAACAAAAACCTGGATCTGTGGCTCGTCCTGCTCATTGTCACTCTTGAAAACCAAAACTGTCTCCGCTACTGAGCCGCTCCCCTGGTCGACGATAGTCCGTGAGATATCTACCAGCTCAACGTGAAATTCGCTGATGTGCGCGATCGACTGGTCCAAATGTCGAGAGACCACAAAACGCTCCCCAGTTTCGTTGATAGACCCTTAGTCACCAGTGCGAAAGCACCTTAACCTGGTGTCTGAATACGTCTGGAAACGATTTTCATCGTCTTCAGAACCGAAGTAGGCAAGGCCAATGAATACGACTAGGTTGTGTTTGCGGTCTTCGCGAACAACTAGTATCAGGTCTTGCGCATGCTCGAATTACATATCGGTAGTCCGGGTGGTTACGTTTGCATTGGCGATCCAACCGAAGGTGACCTGGTGAAGCAGTGTTTGACGGGAGACATTTAAATCGGATAGTAAACTCTTGACTGGCTCATGCACATACTGCCTGGACAGGTCTATAGTCGTCGGTACCAGTAAGCTGTGAAAGTAAGATCTGGAGCGCAGCCAAACCGAAATCTACCCCTGAAACATCATTGTTATCACACAGGCACCGAACACCAAAGGACAGGCTTGCGGGTATGATGCACTCGAAGCGATGGAAAGCAGGGACGGCGTCGGGGTTACGGAAACCAAGATTTGCAAACGGTAACACTGGCAAGGAGGGACGATCTCTCATCTACGCCTTCCACTCGCGTATACCAGAGGTTGGTAAAGGCGCTATCTTGAAGGCAAGACTGGTTTCTAAAGCAGTAGTCGAATTGTCTGGGCTCTCAGGGATGGTCGGTAGTGGTACAGATAGCGAATAGTTGGTGCTGAGAGGCGTCCTGCGAGGTTGAGTAGGGGTATTAAGTTCTTCGGGATGCGCTTTAGGCGATGAAGATAAGAGTCGATCTTCGTTGATGTCATTGTAGTACCTATTCATCCTAGCCAAGAGGCAGATATCGGAACCAGACAGCGAGAAGCGCTTTGAAGATGATTCCAAGGCGCACAGCCGGGATTTCCAGAGCGCCTTGGATGTCCAGGCAGAAACTCGTTATACGGGTTTCCCTAGTAGCCCGAGCAATCGTGCGACATATGGTAAAGCAACTGTACCAAATCTTCTTTTTATTTGCAGCGACCATATGACCCTCTACCACTCTTACAAGCCGCATAGCTATAGGGCTTTGCTATAAAAACCACAGTGTATCTACTGTCAATCTCCGAATCCCACAAAATCAGTAACATGAGTAACTTCAGTAGCATCCTCACGTCTGGCCACATAAGTGCTGATACCAATGCTTTAGCAATTACCGAAGCACTTGGGAAGTTGAATAAGCTTTCTTTCACCCTTCAGGCACCATCCTCCATGTAACCGAGATTATACAAACATACAGCAAGTATTATGATTCAGGCTCTGGGGTTCGGCGTCTCGGTTCGGGTCTCTGGAACATTGTCGTGACATTCCAACATGTCCAATCTGCACTCATTAACGAAAATCCAGGCAAGAGTGGAACGCTCTCAGTTTACTAACGTTTCGCACTTAAGTTGTTCAATCGTGAACATGAATGCAATGAAATTCAAGTCCTCTCTATGCATGATCGGGTCGACTTCTGCAGGTGACTGAGACTGCCTGGCGTGTTCTGATCGCGTGCGTGTTGCCTGTTGTTTGGTGTTCCTTTTGCGCTGTCGTGTTACGATACCTTTCGTAAGTCGAGCCGAAACATAAACGGGTAGAGGCTGACTTAAAGCTGGTATCGAAAAGTGTCGCATGTTAGTGGTCATATCATGTGATGCCACACTTGGTCGATTCAAATCAAGTCAATCAGACAGGGTGTATCGCTGCTGCGTAAGGTTGCGTAAGTCTCGAGCCTCACATAAGGCTTCTGGACGCAAAAGATTGTCCGATTGCTGTACTCCTGATTGAGGCTTGGATGAAGTTGTTGTTGTGCTCCGCCACCATGCACTTTGCGGACCCATGCTATCTATTCCTGTCCTGGAAAGAGCTGATTTGACAGGTGCCGCTCAACGAACGCGTTGTGATGTTGTCCAAGAATTCAACCCAGCATGTATATGTGTTGGTTCCAAAACATCGAGCACCCAGGGCTCTGTCGAGTGGTGAGCCTCGCACGTGTTGTCAGCTTCATATTAGCCGACATCGGTTCTGACCACTGTCGTAACTTCTGTGTCCCAACAAACGACTGAGATGCGACCTTCGCCCACTCATGTATCGAAACACATTCTTGTTGGGCTGTTGTAGATATCCATGATCGTGATCCTGCGTCAGCAAGCGGACCGTGCCGTGGGTCCAGACGTTCGAGTCGAACTTGGTGTCAATAAGATGGATGAATTGTAACGTGTGTTAAGATCTGTCTGGCTAAAGCGATATTGCACATGCTTCCCACTAGGCTTGATAGCTATAAATCAAAAGCGGTCGCATTATGTCGACCGAGACCTGTGATAAGTGTGGTGCAGGAAAGCTAAAGATACCTAGGTACTTGACAAGCAACTGTAGCATCGAAAATGCCGATCAGAGAGCACAGACTCTTGAATACATACTCTGCTCGAGGTGGCGATGAGCAGACCTGCGAAGCAAACCAGTGTGGAAGAAGAGATGAGGTATCATGGTGAAGTGCGTGTCATCACTTCGCCCGGAGCACATGTCTATCTACCTAGGTAGGTAAGCATCACTGGTGGGGTCGCAAGACATATATGCATCAGATCGAAAAAGAGTAAGAGTATGATTAAACACTTGAAGATGTGGGCGAATGGAATCGTGTTGGATGTGAAAGGGGTTTGGGAATTGGCTATGAATCTAGGGATTGAGAGATTGCCAAGCCACTAAAGACGCGGAACGCGTCGGCCGGCTATTCACTTCCACCCAACATCTATACGTGCTTGTCCATGTATGAAAACGCGTAGATATGAAAGCTATTACGATGTTCTAATGTACGCCAGAATGAAAGGAATAACACGATGCCACTTACCAGGAGCCGGCAAAGCCACGATCATCTGACCAATCGATACGCTTCGCTCCCAGCCTCCAAAATGGCTCGTCGACGTCATGATATCTTCGCGCGCCTACTCATCAATCTCATGGAGCCTGAAGCTTAACCTTTTCTGTCTGTTCTTCGACGATAAACTTCCACATCACCTCCGCCGCCGTCTTCGCGCCATCCATCGAATTTAAGGTATCCGCTAGCATCCTCGCTTTCGCGGCATACGACGGATCATTCAGCACCTTCAGAACCGTGTTGCGAATATTCTTGGCTTTCCAGGACTGTTTTTGCACACGGATACCTGCTCCAGCATTCATGGCGTTGTCTAAGTTCGTTTGCTGCTCGACTTGTAGCGCAACACCGACTATAGGCTTTCCTGCCGCCAAGGCGCATTGCACAGTACCTTGACCTCCATGTGTTACGATCAAATCGGCAAGCGCATTGGCGGCGGGTGCTGGGATGAACCGATCAGTCACCAGCAGGCGTGCGTCTCCGCCCGCAATTTCGTTGGCCTTGCCGATGTCGCAGATCGATTTTGAAGCCAGCACGACTGCGTTCCAGTTGTCTTCAGGGTTCATCCTCAGAGCCTTGATCGCTTCGAACAAGAACTCTTCTGTTCCTGAGCTTCCCATGGTAACTAGGATGGACGGGCCAGACCCCTTTGTCAGATGACTTGCGATGTCTTCGTCCAGCTTTGAGTCGTTTCGCGCATACAAGGGACCTGTAAGGACGATGTTCTTTGGGATGCGGTGCAAATATTCTTGGTGAAATATGGGATGGTCGTTAACCAAGTTGAGGTCGGCCATGTTCATGTCGAAAAGTGAGATGGGACCTTTGATTGGCCATCCACAGGCAGCAGCCGCAGCTCCAAGGCGCTTCTGTTGGAAAATAGGAGCGTTGATCATCAGACCACTACCCCACCATGCCATGCGCTGCCGGAACGGTCGAGGAAGCCTTGTGAACAAGGGCATCATATCCGGAAGATCGCGAATCAAGCCATGTGCAAAAGCTCCAGGATGCAATGGCACTGGAAGAAAGTTGATTGTCCGAATGCCCAGGAGTCGTGCAGCGATAGAAGCTGGAGCCCACATGCCGTGGAACACAATGTCGGGTTTCAATTCTCTGAATGCCGCAAGTTGGCCGTCGATGAAAGACTTCGCAATTTCTTCCGATCCGAAAAACTCAGGCCAGTCCCATCCAAGGTCGTGCGCTACAGATATACCCTTCACGCGTGGTTGAGCTGGGACGATGTTGAACCCAGCGTCTGTGATCTGATATTCGAACCGCGCGCCGCAAGAGAGGAAGTCGATCTTTAGGTCGATATCGGGCGGACACATGTCCCGCAAAGCGACAGCCATCGCAATGGCACGTGTGGTGTCTCCAGCATCCTGCCATGCTACGCTCAGCACGATGTGCACGCTTCGGGATGCCATTGTGCGGTTCAATTCTACTATCGTTGCACAAGAGGAGGTTGAAAGCAGCAAGATAGGGCTTCAGGCTTGGATGACGTTCAGGACACCTTGGTGTATGGAGTCTTATACAAACATCTGGGAGGCTCACATGCAAACTCGTGCCCCTCTCTGGAAGCCGCGTCGATCATATTCGTCTCTCCTCTATGATCTCCGAAACGACAGCGATCGGTATGAGCCGTGTAGCACAGCTGCGGCTCATTCTTACTGCACCGTGGGCTGGTCAGCCTCAGCTCAAAATACGAATGAAACCTTCGACTATCGCTGTGCAACACTCACGCCCGACCCAGCTTCATGGCCACGCCATGCTACATCTCGCGACAGCTGCGGGGAACCGTAAGAGGTGCGATGTTATCCAGATTACGTTCGGTCCTTCGCGGAGTCGGACCGGTGAATGCGTTCGAGACTCTGACATAGCAGGCGCAACCTCCCGCTAGTTGCAATATGCTGACCACCTTTGCATAGCGAAACGAGGCGTTCAGCAATGCCTTTGACGTGTTGCGAGACGTGTTCTTGGTCAATACTGCTTGCACAGCAGACGGATACGACGTGACGGTCGGTGTAAGCAGGCTTTGGATCCGTAAACAGCCAATAGTGTACGTACAATATCGGAGCTGACCAGGATGGCCGCACCTATTTTCGTACCAAGCCACCGAGCTTCGCTTCAACCGCGACGGAAACGGCTACACAGCAACATGGCGTCTGCACCTACTGAACAGTTGTATCTCGTAATGCGATAGCGAAACTGATACCAGTCCTCGATCATGTAAAGGCACCGGAAATGGTCTCGTAGGGGTGGGATCAGGAGATGCATTTGGTTATCAAGCTTCGCTAAAGCTCGGCTTTGCTTGTTTATCATCTTAGACGTGGGATGATCTGCGCCATGTCATGGTGGCTTCGCTTATTCTCGTGTTTGATTAGCTGCGCGGATGAGCTCCGAGGTGTGCACCCCAGAAAGAGCCAGGATGACGCACGGCTATCCCAGAAGCTTTTGATCATCTTCCAGTCTTGCGCGAAAAGAGTCAGGGCCAAAGATTGCACTTCACCAGCAAAAGATACAGTTCAACCGGTTGTCAAAGTTAATACATTATGCATTATTGGCAGAGATACGACGCGGTGAGGCATCTGCCCTATCATCATCACACGCTAGAAGACCTCGCATTCATCCATAGATCTAATTCCGGAAAGAAATCCATCGCTTCGTCACCTACGATCCTGCTTTCCACCCGCGCCTAACTGATCACGGAGATCGGGGTTGATCTTCGCCGTTAAGTACGACGAAAATTGACCGCTTTGTCGGAACGTCTTCACCCAAGCTGGAGGTGGCGCTTTCAACGACACCTTGTTCGCTTCTTGTCGACCTGCACCAGTGCCTGGAGTCTTCAAGATACTGCGGGGCTGGTATGCTTGTTGGTCCCGCTTCTCATCGTTGCGCTGTACAGGCGTGTCCGACTTTTCTTTCACGCTGCGCCATTCCATGCCTAGAGCAGCTGGTATTGCAAGGCAAGCGATGATGAGTGCCGCAAAGAATGTCCCATGAGTCAGCGAGTCGTTGTAGGCTGCCAGTATCATTCGTTTGATTGCTGGAGTAAAACCCGTCGTCAGGTCCGTGGCTCCTGCGGCTAAGATGCGTTGAGGATTTAGACCTCCGATTCGTTCCAGGCCGGCAGAGAACTTGTCTATGTAGAGATTTTGTCCCACAGCTGTGAAGACTGCTCCACCGAGCGTCTGGAAAAGCGAGAGGACTGCCGTACCGATGGGAACATCGGGTTTATCTAGCACGGTTTGTACGGCTATATTTGGGTGCTGCATGGTGCAACCGACCCCAAAGCCCGTAACAATCTGGGTCCCGATCCAGATACTGTTGTTGGTATTCACGGACCATGTGGTGATGAGGCCGGCACCAATGGCCATGAACAGAGAGCCAAGAATCATGAAAGGAGTGTAGTATCCGATGCGCTGTACAAAACCGCCGGACATGATCGAGCCGACGACGACTGAGAGCACAAGGGGAATGGTGTTGATACCGGATTGCATGGCCGAGGCACCTTTGATGGCCTGGAACCAGAGAGGGATGTAAATGGACACCGTGAGCATGGTCGCGCCTACGCAGAACTGTGAGGCACTTCCGAATGCGACGCTCCTCTGGAAGACGATGCGTGCTGGCAACGTCGCCGTGGTGTTTCGGGTGACGAATTGCCAAAATATGAAGGCTATTAGAAGAATTATAAAGGCGATGAGAAGCGCAACGATACGTGGTGAGTTCCAACGGTACTCCGCTGCACCCCACTCTAGGGCCAACAAGAGACAGGTGATCGATGGAAGGAACAATGCGGTACCCAGCGGGTCCAGATGTTTTATCGTCTCTCCCCATCTCTCGAATTGCGGCTTCTTTTCTTCGAGGTTTAGCAAAAAACATACTGCAAGGATGGTAATGCCACCGAGTGGTAGGTTGATGTAAAAGCACCACCTGCGAGGTATAAAGTCAGTATATATCTCACATGCGATTCGTCAAAGCGTATTACTGACCTCCAAGTTGCGCTGCTGCTGGTGAACGCTCCGCCTAGCAAGGGACCAGCCACACTTGCAACGCCGAAGCATGCGCCAAAGAGACCCTGCAGCATGGGCCGCTTGGCAAGCGGCACTGTGTTGAGCATGATCAAGATCGCACCGGTGAAGATACCACTACTTCCTAGGCCTGCAATAGCGCGTCCAACGATGAGCATGTTGCTGCTGCGTGCTGCGCCGCAAACAATGCTCCCCAACTCAAAAAGAAAAATGCCGGATAGGAAGACTGGTTTCGTGGGAAAGAAGGTGTATATCCTTCCGTATAGCAGAATGAAGCCGGCTGCTGTGAGCATGTACGCACTACCGTACCATCCAATGTCGCCAATGCTGTCGAATTCGTTTGTTATGGCAGGTATCGCTGGGCCGATGATGGTCCTGTCGAGAGCGACTAGGAAGATCGAGATGTATAGTGACAGCATTATGACTGCTGTTTTTGCTGTAGATGGGTATGGAGATGGCGTCGTCTTCGCTCCTCTTTGCCGTTCGATGTCAGCTACTATCGGCGGACTGAGAGGCTCATCGTTCGCCGAACTCGCATCCCAAAGATGACTTTTGTGGAAGTTTCTGTGCATGTTTTTCAGTGGTGGACTGAGAGGTGAGTCCATAACGTCGTCGTCGAATTTGAAGCTTGTGGGGGTGGAATAATTTGAGGCCTGGTATGGATCCATTATCACTGGCACATGGTCGCCGTCCTCGGATGTTGAAACTCTTCTTATCGTGTTGCGGTGTCCGGCTCCGTTCGCTTCGTTGGCCTCATTCAGCCGCAGTATTCCCTCTAACGCCATTAGAGTGCTTTCCCGAAGGAAGGGTCGAATTTCGTGTAGATCTTCTCGTAAGTTATTGGTAGTGTATGAAGTAGCGACTTCTCGTCTCTGCTGATATGGTTTTGACTGAGCCAGATCTTCTTCTCTTGCGTTGTAAGAGATATACGCGGCGGTGCCTTCTTGTGCTTCGGTGTGTGCTCGAGCAAACGCCGTTTCGCAGTTATCGGCCAAATCTTGGAGGATATTAGAGATCAGGTCGCGTTCTTCAGCATCGGTGCGCCCATGCCATCTCACTTCGGTGAGCTCATGAGTGGACGGACGAGACGATAGCGTTGATATGATGGAATAGGCTGGGCGCGCCCCTCGGAACTTCGGTATATACGGGGGAGGTGCCGCCATTGTCCCAATATCGACTGTAAGCCGTGGATATCAATCCGGAAATGTGGGGCGTGTGCGCTGAAGCCTGATATATTGCTTGCAGCCAAATGTACGAGAGGTCCAAGGTGATGAGCGAGTAACAAAATTCAGAGATATACGGCTATGGGCTATAGGGGTGAAGAGTATTATAGGCATGAGTATGCTTCAGTTCTTCGCATTAACAGTCAAAACAAGAAGCACATCTCAGTAACACATCTAGTAGACCAAGAAACATTCCGCAGTCGCATCCGCAGCACGACCAGCAAAGCGCAACGGTGCAGTAAGACGGCGATGACTTCTGACGAATGCGACGTCTTTCTCACACACCATCCACAACCTCCAAAAGCATCGGAGCGCCATCTTCTAAAACACCGACGTTGTACGGCTTGGCTCTACGCCACAAACTTTTCTTGCTCATCCGATGGCGTCTATTAATAAGAGTCTAATGGACCCTGAGCTGTCAGAGGTGGGTAGCCTCACTATCCTGCATGCTTGCACTGCAGTAACTCTCGTGTTCTGTGCAAGATTATGCAAAGTCAGCCAGCGATAGATGATCGGTGCTCGGTGATGACGCTGGGGAGCCGAGCGGTATTGCCAGATCACTGATCTCTGCCGAGACAACCTGAGCGACATTTGAGACGCCTGATGAATCGATTCCTTTGCAAGGTGAATATGATGCCAGGAATGGAACATGATGTGAAGTGACGTCTCAGCTTTTCCGAAAAGCTGGTGGACGATGTTGGCGATGAGAAAGTGGAGAAAAAGAAAGAGGGCGAGGCTTAGCGTGAGAGGAGGTACAGCTGGCGTGATAGTCTATACGCATCATCCGATCGCGATGCCTGTTTGCTTGTCCCGACCAGAACAAAGTCATCATGCAATCGTTGCAGGAGGTCTCTAATTGTAAGTACAAAGTGGCCATGGTTCGTCATTCAGACAACCCAGTCTTCACAGTGCTCTCATACTCTAGCTGCACATCGACCTGGATCCTTCGCGCAGCGCATCGTCATGACCTCGTCGTTTGGGTCTGACTCCGCGCGAAATACGTATACTTTCAACTGACCATTTCCGATGACGAAGCTTCGCCTCCTAAAGCAGAGCAGTTCTGGATGCGAAACTTCAATGTGGAGGATCCCCATGATCTTCTCAAGGGGGCCCACTTGAGGCAAACAAGCCCTACCCGTAGTGCCCTCAATGCATACTCACCAAAAGACGCAGGTACAGTTTCAAAGACACCTAGCTTTGCGAACTTGCAGCTAGTTTGCGGGGTGCATTGATGTTCAACAGGGACACAGTGGAGATTGCCGCAAAAGCAAACGGCGCCCCTGAGCCAAGAATGGCAAGAAAGATTGGCAAAAGCAAAATTGGGACGACGAGCCTATGCTGCGACATGACGCAGGGCAAAGTATTTTACAATGAGTTCACGATAGACATCAAAAAGGGGGGTACAGCTCACTTGTCATCCTTTAAGTTGATGCAGGTGCCATGATGAACAGGCTGTGAGATCACAACATCGAACACGTAATGAAAACAGTGATACCGGTATCAGGTACGAAGAGAACCATATCATTGGATGGACAGCTTACGAGTTGGGGAATTCCCTAACAACGTGATGACTGCTAAGGCATTGGAGGAGAGTACATGTTCCCTAATGAGCGTCCTTCCGTCCTTCAAATGATCTTTAATATGCGCCAGATACCCTTTCACCACCATCTTGTCTCACCACAAGAGAGTGTGCCGGATTGCGGTATCGTTGCCGGTGCCATGGGAACAGAGAGGCCCACTGATCACTGAGGGTGATCTTCGTCCCACTCAGCTACCTTGTCGTCATATAGTCCTGAGATGTCTTCGAAGCACAAGACGAGATGTTTGTTGCACATTGCAACTGTTCCGTAAACCTCGAACTCTTTCTCTGTCATGTCGGAAAGCGTGAAGACTTTCTTGGTGTCTGAGGCGGCTACACGGAGACACTTGACCATGCCGCGTTCGAGCATGTTGGTCCTCAAGACGGGCCTCTCCAAGGGGTCGGCAAGAGGCCAGCTCTCGCTGGACAACTTGTGCTCATCTAGAGCCTTCTGGGCGCATTCGACGAGGGCTTGTTGGCATTGTGTGAACCTGACGTCCTTAAGCGGGGTCGTACCGATGGAAGACTGGCTGGCGATTGGAGTTGGGTCAACCCCGTACTGCTTGTTGCACGCTAAAAGGTCTTGTTGAAGTGTATACTCTCTGTACCTCGCCTGCGGTTCTTGGGGGTCGTTTGCGGAGAGGACAAAGGTGTTAGCATCTAAGTTGTCCATAGCGGTTTGTTCATCGCTCAAGGAATCTTGTCGAGCAGCCTGGGACGAATCAGTAATCATCACCCTTGAAGTGGAAAGAACTGCTGACTACAGGAACGAAAGTGGCCGCGGATGCATGCGCTTCAGACGCAGCGTTGGCGGTCTGCTAAAGTATGAGTGTCAGAATGGAACCACAAGATAGTAGATAGCGAAGTCATACCAATGATGCAGTGTTGACAAGAGGGACTATGCCTGCAGTGGCGGCAATGAACACATAGAAGAGTACGAGAAAGTGTTGAAGGAACATGGTAGGGTATGATGAAGAGCTGTTGCTGGTAACTTCCGTGCGAGGATTGTAGTTGCTGAACGTGGTTGTAAAGTGGATCGAATGAAGGCTTAAAGTGGAAATGTGGGTTGGCAATCACTTATGGTCCAACTAGACTTCATTCTTATAGGAATTCTTATCCACCGGCCCCATCTTTCGGAATTCGAGACCCGTGAATTGAGAGTCTGGGTCGAATGAACTCGTATCGTTCGTAGCTGTAATCCTCTCGCTTCCCCAACCGATCATCCGCCCCAATGGAGGTTCGTCGAAGCGGCTTATAGTACAGCGGGCGAGTACGGACTTGGATATGCCTTGGTTCTCGATCAGAACTAGTCAACATGCAGTGGTAATCACACACGAATCAGATCGCCTTTCGTTGTCTAAATGCGGTCGGGGTCTCGGTCGCTTTAAGGCTGACTTATCATAACGACTGGAGTTATGAGAATAACCGATCATTGTACTTGTGCTGAAGCAGAGCAGCGCCTGAGATCATTAATGACAGCAGACATGACAGCTACATTGATGCGAATCTCGTCGCTGATGAAGGTGAAGGTGAAGTTTATCGACGGAAACGGCTTAGAGGGCTAGAACGATTGCGTCAAGTCTGTTTATTGGGGATACCGGGTTTTCGGACGGATAGAAAAATGATTACGTGTTACTCTGACGGTGCAGGTGGTGACGACCGCATATCTCCAGATTACCCGATGATGTACTTGTAACAAGTTGAACATGTAATAGTATGCGAATCCTGTAGGCTCGATGATCTTAAGCAGATATTTGCCCTGTCGGTTTCTCATCAAACTTAGTCCATATTCCAAAACATGTACAAATTGTTGCCTGATGACCTACTCATGAAGCAGAACTTGAGCAAAGCTTGGGAATATTTCCCAAAAGAGGGAAGTCAGAAAGTAACGATACGGTTCGGCACTCTAAACTTGATTGAAGTACCCTTCATATCAAGAGAGGCACTCTCATCCATCTTCGATATGTGCTCCTCGCCATAACAAGAAAGGCTAGTCAGAGAAGGGGGGTTAGTTCTCTGGGCGCCTTGAAACCTCATTAGCACTGTCGTCGTATCTAGTCATAGTGGATGAACCCCTCAGGGAGAGAGCCACTGAGTAGACAGCGAACAATGATGTTACGTTGGCTCTCAAGCTCATGATCGTGATGTGTGGTTGAAGATTGCCCTTGTTCGATCAGATCGACTCATACCTGGGTAATGTGTTGACGTTCTAAGCAAATACATACTGTTCGTTGGAAGAGCTCGCAAGTATAAGAACACTCGCTGAGTAACTTACTAGTGGTGATTGTTTTCAACATCTGCTTTGAATCCCGTCCTACTCCTACCAACACACGGGGGTAGCGACGCAAGTTCCACTCCATCAATACTTGGTCAATACCTCTCCAACCGTGAAGTCGTTTCTCACTAGTCTTACTGAGCGGATAGAAGCTTTCTATCATGCGACTCTTTGCGTGGATACAAGCCACCTTTCACATCTTCGATGTCGTCAATGCATCTACGAGCGTCGCTTGGTCGAATCTCACTTCACAGGGACTCGAATTCTCACAGGCGGACCGCGATAACCTGGATTGTGCACACAATCCTTATTGTAACTTCAATGAAGATCAGGGTGCACATGAATGGATAAGTGGTTGTCCAGGCCTTCCCAGGATCACCGAAGAGCTTTGGAGAAGACATAGGCACGTCGACGCGAAGTTTTTGAGGAAACACTTCCGAACCTACAAGAGACTACAGGCTAGCAAATATAAGCTTGCTTTCGACGAGTTGACGTTTCCTGCATATATGGCAAAGCGATACGCCCCCAGTGTGCCACCTAGTAGCATGCTCTGCGATGGCCTCGGCATGTGCAGAGTGAGTATTCTACTTTGGCTTCGAAGTCTACGTGCGCTAATGGCACTATTAGTCCCCAAGTTGCAATGATATTGGTATGAACAACACTGCCGATGAAAGACGGGCAGCCATGTTGTTCTTCGAATCTGTTTCTGGACTCGACCATTCATTTCACATCAGGAGTGAAGCGACCCAAGACCACTACAGGCACATCGTCGAGGACTTGGATCGGCTCACAGCAATGTTCACATATGCAGATGAGCAGCAGGATGCAGCAGTCAAGAAGGAGGAGAAAAAGCAGAAACGCATACAACAAATGGAACTGGCTTTTAGCATCATCACGGCTGTCTTCCAACTGTTTACCACGGCTGCCAACATCCTGAATTATAGGCCAGGAACTCTTACAGCTATGTTCAACAAGTTCCCTAGAGCACAAAGTCTTGCCAATAAATGGCAGCGGGGTCTTAGTGCGATGAGTAACAAATTCCCAAACGCTAGCAGGCTTGCAAAATTTGCGAGCCGCAGGAAACCCGGCGATGGCCTACTTCGCGAAAAGTCAATCGAAAACTCACAGAGTAAGTTTTGATCGCAAGTGCGAAGCATTTGTCTAACACGGGATAGAGCTGTGGACAATTACCAGCGGAGGTTGGCTAGGTATGCAAGGTTTGACCAAGGAAGTGGTCAAAGAGATCAACCACAAGAAAGATCTGTAAGTCAGAGCCGATATACATGTCCGAGAAGAAACGCTAGTGATACACAGCCACGGGTTCGAAAAGACTCTGGATTCTGTACGTGCGGCTTTGGTTGAGCTCGACACCTTTGCAGTTGACGAAGTGCTGGAAGGGATGGCACTCCTTTCCTTGGGCTACGAAACGCACAATGGTCATAACATCGTCGATCTATTCGAAAAAGACTTTTTCTTTGGTGCCAACGTTTACTTTCGGGCCTGGATTCAATATGTAATTGGGATGAAGTCCTACGCTACCATAATAAGCGCCCTTTGGTATGTGCTGCATTTCCAACCACATCTTGTGAGTAGTGGCTAATTTTGACAGGAAAACTGAGGGCGTATACATCGTTGAGAGTCTTACTCATTCTGGTCAAAACTGCGACCAAGACAACCGGGGACCAAGGTCCAACAAAGTGTGCCTTGAAGAACGTCCCAACAGATCATACTGGACTTACGCAATGTCCAACTACGACGATAAGAAGACACGAAGTCCTCCAGGATGGGAATTCCTCACAAGCGAAGAGGGATTTCATGGTCTCTACGAGACTGACGTAGTTAGATCCGCGCTTTGGCGAGGGGAGGTATGGTACCCGCATCGTGACAAGCAAGAGGAACTCGGATGCCGCGACGAGCCTACAGCTCCTGAACCACCAGAGGTATATGCTGAAGGGGTGAACGCCACAAGCCCATCTGAGTTAAATCCCACGAATGATCTTGCCTCAGGAGCAATACCACATCTGACGGATTACGGCAACGTTCCTGATGGCTTTGACATTCCGATATGTCACAGCTGGCTAGGCGAGGCAATCTCCGACGTGAACAGCACGAAGAACAGCAACGCTCCTTGCCAATGAGATGGTCCCAACTCGACAGATGCAACATCCTGGGATCAACCTACCAACTGGACCTTCGCATACACAAAGAAGTTTATCAAGGACGGCGGGCTGTATAACTTTGACAACTACGGGAAGAAGTGCAAAAGCTGCGACAAGTTGGGCGCCAGTTGGAAGGCGTTACTGAGACTTGATGAAGAGGAGAAGCCAGCGAAGCACATGAAGGAGGGTTGGAATGGAGGCTGCGAGCCCAAATCGCACAAGTCTCACCCACTAGGGCAACCGCAGCTCAGCGATCCGCCAGAGACAAGTTCATCAGCTTCATCTACACCCAACTCTTGCACCCCAACACCCACCCGAGAGCCCATCGTCCAAGCTACATCTGAACTCGTCGCTCACGAAACACGGTACCCCAAGAACACTCCCAAGAACATAACGCGGCAGGGCGAGTGCAACGGACCATACTGCATCGTCGACACCGTTTACGTGATCCACGAGCAGAACTATGAATACAGCGTTGACTCATCCGTCCGAGTCAGCGAACACGGCTGCTACGCGGGTGATGACTGGTGTTTTGAGCAATCAGCGCATGACATCTGCGAGTACCCTGATGAGGACGAGATTTCAGATGAGGACGAATACGAGGAGGAAGAAGAGGTCGGTGAAGACGAGGACGAATACGCGGACTTCATTCAAGACCATGAACCTCAAAATGGCACGACTGCAGACGACAAAGGCCGAGACGGCAAAACCTCAGGTGGCGAGACAGCAAAAGACAAGGAACCCACTCCCGAAAAAGACGAGAACATGAAGAAATTTGAAGAGGAACACAATCGCCAGAATGGGCGACAGAAGTGTTTCTGCGGTGGAAATGGTAAAGCAGGTCAACACGGCATCTCGTGCTTCGATAAGGGCGTCACATCTAGGACGACGACCGTCAAGGGCAGGATGAAGCAGACACACACACCGGGCATTTCTGCAACTGGTGCATCGATCGCTTCTGGTGGCGGAGCCATACCTACCACCCAGGCAGCTCTTCGCATTAAGACCGTGTACGATGCTGGTGGTGAGGCCGCACCCACGACGCAACCCACCCTTCGCATCAAGACTGTGTACCAAACCATGAAACGAGACGTAACGCTCCAAGCGACGCCAGAAGTGCCGAGTCTTGCTGTTCCAACGGTGGCTCCGGTGTTTTCTCCTAGTAGCTATGGTTCGCTCGCTTCTCACTCGAGGGTGACGATGGGCTGAGTTGCCTTTTGTGTGTGCGTGCGTGTATGGTGAGGGTGCAGGACAAATCCGCTTATTGGGGAATGGTTTGGAGGGCTAGTTTGGGGAGAATGTGGATGGGACGAGCTCGCTTACATTTACGATTCCCAGCTTTCTGTTATTGGTGAGAGCTGGAACTGTATTTCCCATTCGCACTGTCAGTGGTGATGGGTGGGAAAGGGTATGGGATAATGTCGACTTATTCTTGATATCGATATCCAAATCCAAACAATCTTGTTTGTCGTGTATCCGTCTTCAGGGCATGATCGTGATCGCCGTGGTGTGTTGGAGGGGAACGTGTTTCGCCCACCCACCTTGAAAACCGCAGTGCAAAACCAGACCACTGTTGTCGACAACTCTATGATGATCACTTATCGCTATTGTCTCATAGAGCGAACGCATCAGAAAGAGAAGTGGTTCAGACACAGCAACAATGAGATAAAAAGCTGATGTATATTGAACTTGACATTATGCTTTGCGATAAAAGTAATATGAAACGCCCCAGCACTTGGCGACGTTTGACTTGGGAAAAGCAAAGGAGACTGCAAATTTGACCAGCAAAAAGGCTGCATGTGAAAAGCAGTAGTAACTAAGGGTATCATCGCTGTCGTGTGAGGGCGAAGTAACGAGACGAAGAAACGACATTAGCAGTAAAGACGCAAAGAGACCATTACCAAACACCAGACATGCCGAGAAGGAAATTTCGCAACGGCAAACAGCTCAGTCGTCCGTAGCATTCATCTTACCCATTTCAAGGCCGACTTCCTCAGTCTTCATACGCTCACCATCCGGCCCTCTGCGTCCGCCTCCCACAAAGCCCCAAAGGCCGACTGCAGCCACAGCCCAAGCAATGACCATAAAAGGCACCATGACGGCACGACCGGCAACCTCAACTGCGCATTGCTTACTGTAATCCTCTCGCACCATGGCAGCACCTCCAACATCTTGCAGTTCGCACGCCCAAGTCTCGAGATCGAAAGTACCAAAGTTGTAGCGAAAGAAGGTCTCTTGGGTTGCAGCTGTATCGTTCATGCGAGAAGCGCGGAAATTGACGAAGCCCTCGCGGAAATGCGAGGTGTTTTTGTGGGTGACGAAGATGGAGACTAGAGCGAAGAGAACGAGAATGGCGTTGGTGATGTGCAGGAACATTATGTTGCGACGGAAGGCGTATGATTGTGTCTATCGAGTCATTAGCATTAAACACCTCTACTATATGGCAACTGTGCGTACCCGCTTGCCCATTTTCCAGTCCGTGACTACGAGTCCGATGTGCGCTGCAGCCAGACATATACTAAGGGTAGCAGCGATAATGGCCAACTTGGCTGGTATTGCGTAGAGCATCCTCGGTAGAGCGGCCATGATGATGGCGTCGCCTGGCTCGCCATCTTTTCTTGTAGTTTGGAAGGTGAATCCCGTCCGACGGTTGTCTTCGATGAAGCTATAGGTCAACGCCTTGAGCGTGATGACTGGGATGGCGATTATGAGTAACAAGGAAAGGAAGACGCTGTACAATAGCCTTGCAATACGATGATGCGGGCATGAACTAGTATTGAGTGGCTGATTGAAAACTGGTGGGACATGTTTCTTGGAATGGAAGAGCGATGTGACTTTGTCGGCTGCCGGTGGGAGGGTAAAGTTGACTTTCGTCATATTGGTTGTGGTATTATCTCTACCTTTCCCGGCTGGGTAATGATAGGATATGAGCGAGCTATGGATGGAAGAATTATACGTGGACTAACTGATGGCAACGAGACATGGTAGAGTTACATAGCATCTGGTCACCGCCGAGGCATTCGTCCCAAGAGTTGCATGCTTGGATAGTCGCCCACACTGTGATTACTTTACCTATAATCTCTGCTGAGAGATTTATCGTTCTGTCAATGCTGGAAGGGTCCTTGGTGGTACCTAGCAAGGACTTGCTTGAACGGTCGAGTACATCTCCGGCTTGTTCTGGATGAATCGCAATGCGACTGACAGGTGTCAAACGGTCTGGTCATCGTGTATTGGCTGTTAGCATGTGTCGCGACAGGAAGTGTGAGAGATGCGCAACGCGCACGACCCGCCCACTGCACCGATGATGGTTCTCCCGCGTCGCAATAACGCACTCTGATAAGCGTTAGAGAACTTTCTTGGGTGTTCGCGTAGTCCGAAAGCGCCTGAGGCATTATTTGATCACATATCATTGCTGATAGACTAATGTGCTGCATGGGACACGGCGCGATGGAGTGTAGATCCCCCGCAGGATGGCTTGCATCGAGAGGACGCGTGTCGCTCTTACTATGATGGGCCAATATAGTAATCGCCGGATAGATCAGATGGCGCGTCATGTATATGACAGCGGGAAGTCTAATGGAGCTTTGCCAATGGGCATGTCATGACATGACGTGGTGGGTGCCGTGGCATACCATGGGGGTAAAAAAAAAAAAAGTGTTTGAATTAGTGACAAGACACGACAGGATATAGGCGCGCGTTGTGGACGTAGATATGATATGTCGACAACAAGAGTGTGGTGATGGCGGGTGAAAGGCGGTGGTGATGTCAGACATGCCCGAGCGCTAACTGTCGAGGAGTCGCGATTCGACGCGTTGGCAAGGCATGTCGGCCAACAACACGCAATCCCCTTAACCACACGCCATGGCCTTTACAGCGCTCAACAACAAGCCATCGGCACCCATAGTACTCGTGCAAACTCCGCCTGCGCCTGCGCCTGCGCCTGTACCCGCGCCAGCTGCCCCGACTCTCGCACCGCATCCACAGGAAATTGATGTCGCTTTCGCTAGCAACCATGAGCTGCGGAAGCGCGTACACGCCGCGATAGGTATGTGGTCTCTATTCGACTCCCGACTATTACTGATTTCCTCTCAGACCAGAACCCCGCGCAAAGTACTCTTTTCCGCGACATTTCGACTTACATTCTTAATCAAACTTCGCAACCTGCTGCCGAGCCAGCAACAAAGAAACGCAAGATCGAAGAGAGCAACCCCCCGCAGAACGGCGCATCAGCGTCAGGAGGTAGTCTCACAAGTACTGCGACGAAAGCATTCAAGACATACCCAGCCGTCAGCGTCGCCATACCCCAGCGAAAGAAGTTCACTCTCGAACTGCTCGACAAGAAGGATGGCGGCATAAGAGCCATAGGCGCCAATGGCAACGTCGAATTTGCCATTGCGTGGAAAGACGTCGACCAGGTCTTCTGTTTGCCTATACCCGAGAAGGCCAAGAAGCAGCACCATTTCATCGTCATACCACTACACGGCGATGGAGTGGCGCCCGTGCCAGACGAATTAAAGGCATCACCACCAGAGCCCATAGTATGGACGTTCGAGGAGGCGACAGGCAAGAACATAGTCGAAGGCGAAGATCCAGGACCAGGACCGATGGCTGAGGCGATTCATCATTGCCTGATACAAGCTGGGACAGGAAAAGAAGTTGTCTTCCCAGATGCCGACGAATTCGCCAGCGCCGTACCAGAAAGTCACAGGAAGGGTGAGAAGGCATACCACGTCAAGGCACATAGGGGAAGCAAGGAAGGTGCGTCATACACACGAAAATCACGACACAGAACTTCTGCTAACATGCTCTAGGCTACCTGTTCTTCACCTCGGTAGGTATCCTCTACGGCTTCAAGAAGCCTCTCGCATTCTTCGACTTCGCCGCTATAAACAGCATATCCTACACCGCCGTCCTGCGCAACACCTTCAACATCGTCTTCACCACACCAACAGGCGACATCGAATTTGGCATGCTCGATCAACAAGACTTTGCCGGCATAAATGAATACGTCCAGAAACACGGACTGCAGGATGCTAGTCTGGCTGCGGACAGACGCGCAAAGAAGCTTAACGTAAACAAGGTGGGCGGCAAGAAGGAGAACGGAGCGGCAGTAGAGGAGGCTGCTGGTGAGGAAGAGGAGAGCGAGCTGCAGAAGGCCGAGAGGGAGTTACAGGACCAGGAAGACGATGAAGAAGAGGACGATGACTTTGATCCGGGAAGTGAGGGCGAGAGTGAGGGTTCAGGCTCTGACAGCGAAGACGAAGATGGCGAGGGGGGAGGCTATGAGGAGGGCGACACAGCCGAAGTTGAGTATGATGAGGCTGGTGGCGATGATGATGTTGATGAGATGGAACACTAGTTATGCTTCATGTATGAGCACACGTGCGAGCGAGATATCGCACTCTGCCAGGTTCTATATGAGCTCCTAATCATACACAGCATCCTCCAAACTAAAGTGCATGCATCTTATACTTTCCTCTCAACCTGCCCAGGTACACAGTTCAAGAAGACGAGAATCATGACGCTTACTTCTCTGAATCCGCATCCCTTCTTTTTATCGTTGCGGCTGTCTTACGATACTACTGTCCTAACAATTCAACACTGCTTACTGAAATGCCACCAATCACGCAATGAGATATACTTGGACGTGCGCGCAACATGATCCACGTGTCTGATTCCTCGGTTCCTCGCACTGTTGAAGCCCATGCGAGTGTACATCTTCTAATTTCATGCCGCGCAGCGTAGTTCCCAGTATTCTTCACTAGACTCGAAGTCGTCAGTGTATTGTGCACTTTCTGCTCTACGGGAAGACGGGCTCGAGCTCTTTGAATCGGGTGCTGGCTCTGTGACGTGGCTGGACTGCGATCTTAACGGTGAGGTTCAGATTTAGCCAGAGAGTGCAACTGAAACGCTACAGCTACTCAATACTGAGGAAAATGATCTCGCCACCTGCAACCTGAACACGAAGTTTGGTACCCTTACGCTTCTGTATCTGGTGCTATTGCGACTTAGTTGCCATAGAACTGGATATACCAAAGTCTGAAGCTGTCCTGGAGTATCGAAATGTGCATTGCAGACTATTCAGTCGAGCTAAAATAGTTTGAGCAAAGGTAATGAGATATCCTGCTCCTGTCGTTGTTTGAGCATTGTGTCTTGTTCACCTTCCTCATGTCGTCGCATATCCACTCTCCGATTCTCCTAAGTCCGTC